AGGATGTCATTTGAAGTCTACTGGAGCTGCGCAAAGTGCTTTGAATCCAGCAGGCAGGAGGGAAGGAGGACTGGAGTCAGGGGAGGGCCAGAAGAAAAAAAGCACTCCCATGTCAGACACCAAACTGGAAAGCGGAAGGGAGGAGGTGGGACGCTGTGCTGTTGCTTGTTTGTTTTTGACCTCATAGGACACCTAAAGAAAAAAAAGGATTCCCGATCTTGCTAAACACAGCCTAACCCCTGTGTCTTTTATAGCTTCTTTCTGTTGTTTGGCTACTTCAAACTATTCTCCTTCCTATGCTTTATTCTATCTTGCTCTCTTTTCCCTCACTTCTGAGTGCAGTGTTGGGATAGTGAGGGCACTGGAGGGGACAGTAATGACTAACTCTGTAAAGGTAATGATAAAGTACAGACGCTTTAGACTCCACTCTGGCTAGAGGCGCCGGGGCTAAGAAAATTACAGTTGTGCATGTGTGTGTGTGTAAGAATGAGAGGCAAGAGAAAAGAGAGGGTGGAGAAAGACAGAGGGCTGAAAGAACAACAGAGACAGTTTCACAGTCAGGCTGAGACAAAGACAATGCTGTCATTCATTTTCCTCCAGTTATTTCAGCAGTCCGGTATTGTGTGTGTGTGTGTGTGTGTGTGTGTGTGTGTGTGTGTGTGTGTGTGTGTGTGTGTGTGTGTGTGTGTGTGTGTGTGCGCACTTTGTGTGTACTCCATCGTCTCTCTCTCCTCTCCACTCGTCTATTAGTGTCTCTTGACCTGTCTTTGGCCAGCCTTCCTCTCTTCCCATCTTGTCACCTCTGTCCAGATTCCCTCTATCTCTCTCCCACGCGGGCCTGCCTTCTAGTTGTGGCCTCGCTCCACCACTGTCACTCTGACTCTCAGTTACACTGTAGTGAAGCTCTGCACTCGCCACACAGTCACCGAAGGAGGGGACTCCTCCAGTTACACTATTTGAGTTTAGCATACATGAATACAAGTGGGTGAGAATGTACTGTATAAGCATAGGTTGTCATCTAGTGTCTGGGTCTACGTGTGTATGTGTTTGTGCGATTGTGTGCGATTGAGTGCTCTAGAAAAGAATACCCAGAAGCCTGTGTTTGCTTTCTAGCTGTCTGCTGTCTGTCATTAGAGTAATAAAAGACTTGCTGTGCTGCACGGCGAGGAGTTATTGTCTTTAAGGTTCCTCCATTCCGCACAAATTGCCGGCTGCTGAGCTCTGATGGATGTTTGTATGCTGGCCCAAAAACACAGGTTCCACTTTAAACCCCCAGCTCCATTATCCCAGAGAGAGACAGGGGTAGAGAAAGACGCTGTCTGTCTCCTACCTCTGTCATCCAAAAGTGTGTTAATTAAACTGTGGTACTTTGCAGGCCCCAGAACACACACACACGCACACACACATACACATTGCATATCGAGGTTTATCCAAATACGCAGGGCTGTTCCTCCCATTCTATCTCCATTCTCAACCACTGTCTCTTTCTGTTTGTCTGTCTCTGCTGCCATTCTTCCCCAGCCGTCCTCTTTTTTTCTCTCCCTGTGCCCCCTCTCATCGCGCCTGAAGAGTGACAGGCTGTGTTTTTCAGCCGATGTTTGAACACCGAGCGATCAATGCCGGACAAAGGGAAAGAGCGGGGGTGAGAGGCGGGGAGGGGACACACAATTGGTTATTGACAGTGAATTCAAAGTCTGAAAGACTGGAGGCGACGGCTTAGTAAGAGGAGAGCAAGAGGATGTGAGGAGGGAAAACAGACAGAGGAGAGGATTGGGAGATAGGCACAACAATGAATGTGATTCATGTTCCTTGTTAAACATCACTAAACATCACTGAGATGTGTTAACTTTCAGTATTCCTATTGATTTGTCTTTACCTCTACCCATTGCACGTTGTTATTTGAGCGTATGTGTATTAATGAAAGTGTGGACCCCTGCCAAGGTGTAACCTGTTGGAGCAGAAACAAGTGTCAGTGTTGGTCCATGGATACGTGTGCAGGTTTAACATGACGCTATATCATGTCATGTCATGTCATTTCATATCTTATTGGTGGTGTTAGAATTTGGATATTTCACTGAAGTAAGATTTAGTTCAGAGTTAGGGTGTGGCCACACCTGTCTGACTAACTTTGCTGTATTTGTGTTTCTGTCCATCCACATTTTTCCTTTGAAAAATAGTTTCTTTGAAACAGGTTGTCTTTGTGTCTGTTCAGAATATGGCCAACCATATTGCCTCATTTCTCTTGGCTAAGCAGATGCTATTGAAGATTTGTAAAAATTTCAGCCCGTCTAAACTCTTCTATCAGTCGCAACACACGAATATGGCAGCCAAGTATTGTGGTAGCCAAGTGGAAAACAAACGTAATTAGATCATAAGACTTTAAGACTGGGCTGGAGTTACTACTGTAGGATTAGGTTGAGAAATCACAATCTTTTGTTTCCTACAATTTAAAAGCGTATTTTTGTAATAATATGTGTTTGTCCATTTGAATTCCTCTGGAAGTTCCAATGTGGTCGATGAAAATAGTCAACAGCAGCAGAAGTACATTATCTGTCATTTTGATTGGTGGTTGTGGTTTTAACCAACTGATGAGAAGTGACTCGTTTTTTGTACAAGTAGCTGTGCCTAAATGTACTAAATCATTTATTTACTTACTTTTACGTTTTTTTGAAACACATTAGTATTTCAGTGCAAGAAAAAAAAAAAGTCATCATGTTTTTTATAATAATGATCACTCTTTGCTAGCTCATCACCAAAATAAGCACTTCTGTTTTTACTCTACCACACTGGGGTCAAGGTGGGGTAAAGCGTAAATGCGTGCAGTGGTGAGGGTTCAGTTTGGGGTCATGGTTAGTAAATATACATAGTCAGTGGAAGGTCTTTTTGGAAGGAGAAGAATGAGGGTGTGTTTGCGGTAAAGACAGGCTGGAGAGACGTAGAGACAGATTAAAGATGACGGGTCCATCCTGGATGGGTGGTGGGCCAGAGGCAGCTGTTGCCCTTACTGCCTGTCCCATGGCCACAGCTCCGCGAGATGGTACAGTCACTGTACCTGAAGACGTTACAACCTCTTGAATCCCATGAATCCCTACTGGCCTTGGTTTGAATCGTGCCACAACTTTCTCTCTCACTTCCTTCACGCTCTGTGTTCCTCTTTGCTTTCCCCTAATGCCTCAGACAGTCTGTCAGGGGGAACAGTGGGATGGGGGTGGGGAAGTGCTCACTTTCCTAAAATAGGAGATGGTATCTTTCTAAGTAGTTTCTCTTGTTCCCTGGTTGTGGAATAACTGATCAGGTTGGGCTCGATACATTTTGAAAACTGCAAATTTGTCTGGTTTAAGTCTCATTTAAGCCTAAAAGTGGCTGCATCTGCCCTCCCACCTCTTTCTTTATCCACTGAATGTAGAGAATGAGATTTAAAAACTGTAGTGCTGTGAGACTGCCGTGTAAGAAAAGCACACTTCACCCATGCCTGCAGGTGTGTGTGAGTGTGTGTGTGCGCGTGTGTCAAGGGAAGAAAGTGCACTGGGCTGAATATGCACATACCTTTTTTTTTGCAGCTCCTGACTGGAGCCGACCCTGTCAATCCTTTGCACTCCGCTCCTGTCTTTCATTTAATGCTTATTGAACTTAGATCATTTTGGTAAGCAGAACAAAGTTTTCTATTGGAAGGTCAGACCCATTAACAATTTATAAGAACCAGGATTACCCGAAAGGGAAAGTCAGAAAGTGATGACAGGGTTTTGACAGTAGATGATGTTAACATTGCATAAAAAGAGAGAGAACATGTATGGCACCTGCTGACTTATTGTGGTGTTTTAAACATACTTTAAATGCATTGTTGTATTTGTGTGCTGTACGCCTCAGGTTTCAGACAGACCATTATAGCTATACTATGGTCAGGTTGTTGCATGGCAGAAGCTACCGCAGTCCTGTTGTCGTGTCATAAACTCTTCTCCAGTCTGCCTGTGCTTCAGTGTTTTGCCCAGGATACAATCCCGTTGATGGACACACATGACTTGTGTGAGAAGGGTTGAGCTTGCATCATCATCTGCAGCCCTGTCAACAGACAAGTCAGACTGATACTGAAATTCTTAGTTACATCCCAGAACTAACACCTCTGGACAGCTGAAACTGAAACTGTCAAGTCAAGTCAATTTTATTTATATAGATCAAAATCAGAAATTTACCTCAAAAGGACTTCACAATCTGTACAGTAAACGTGCTGACCCTTGAAAAACAATTTAGCAAAATACATAGTATCAGTACACATACCTAAATCTATCTACTGCTGTGAAACCAGTATAGTAGCCAATAACATTGCAGCATTAATATACTGCGTGGGATCCACCCATCGTTATTCGAGTAACAAGTTGCAGTGAAGAGGTCAAAGATACCGTGTCCTTCCTGCCAGGAGAAGCTCTTGGCAGCATTGCCAGGAGGGATGTGTCACATCGAAAATGTCAGGGGATAATGTGCGATCAACAGGACCTGTCCGTGGAAGGTCAGCAGCTCTCCCACCCAGCTGAGAGGCATGGACTCTCCCAGGGAGACCAGAGCAGAAGGCCTGCATTGACCAGATTACTGACAGTACAAGGAGGCGAAAATGTCACCCCACCCCTCCATTTACACTGCAAACTGTCAGTCCCTTAAAGGTCCTAAATGAGATACACAAACCGATTTGCCTTAATGTATACAGTTAAACACTGCTGACGAATTTGTCCACACATGCCCTAAAGCAGGACTGAGACACACAAGACAAGCTGTCACACTCACACATATTCCCTCCAGGTATGTGATAGCTTATTGATCCCAGAGGGACATTTGTCAGTTTGTTTATTTCTTACTTCCTCAACAGTGAGGTTGGAATGCAGGATCAGCCTCAGAGCAGCCATCCAAATACTGATGGAGACTCTGCACTGCTTGGGTACGCCTCTTTAACTCTGGACTTCCCATTAAAAGACTGCCATCCTAATCACTACTGTGCCCTTTATTTTCAGAGAGCAGCGACTACAGCGAGACCGAGGTTCTCCCCGATTCCTTCCCATCAGCGCCGGCAGAACCTCTCCCAGAATTCCTGCTGGAACCAGAGGACGCCTTCATCGTAAAGAACCGGCCGGTACAGCTACGTTGCCGGGCATCACCAGCCACTCAGATCTACTTTAAGTGTAACGGAGAATGGGTCAATCAAAACGATCACGTCACCAGAGAGAGCCTGGACCAGATCACAGGTAATACACACACAGAGGTGTACTGTAAACAACATCACACACACACACACACACACATAGTAATGTCACCTTGTATTTCACAGACATAAAAATCATACTCAATTACAAACATCATTTTCAACTACATAATCCATTAGCTCCCATAGGATTTTATGTGCACGTTAACTGCATTTGGCCCGTAGCCAATGCATTATTTATATGCACTGTGAAAAATATGCTCCTCTAATTCTCTCCTCCTCTCTCTCTCTCTCTCTCTCTCTCTCTCTCTCTCTCTCTCTTCTTCTCTCTCTTTCTCTCTCTCTCTCTCTCTCTCTGTGTGCACAGGCCTGGTGGTGCGGGAGGTGGACATCTCAGTGTCCAGGACGCAGGTGGAGGAGCTGTTTGGATTGGAGGACTACTGGTGCCAGTGTGTGGCCTGGAGCTCGGCTGGCACCACAAAGAGCAACCGTGCCTACGTTCGCATTGCATGTCAGTACCAAGGCTGTGTGTGAGTGTGTGTGAGTGTTTGTGTAAGAGAGAAAGGAAGGAAGAGAGACAGCAGAAGGGCAAATGTTTCCGTCTTTTTGCTTGTCATATATGTCAGCTTAAGTATATATGCAAATGAATTTGCTGTAGCACTCCATCATAGTCCCCCGTGGTAATGTGTGGCGTAGTGTGATTGACACTCTGCATGTTTATGAGGGTTTGAAGTGAAAAAAACACGACATAGTGACAGAGGCTTTTTGGGGCTTTGCCTGGCGTGTGTGTGTGTGTGTGTGTGTGTGTGTGTGTGTGTGACAGGCAATGTCACAAAGATAAACAGGGTGTCACTCCTGTCACAGGGCAGCCTTCACTAACTGCTGACTACATCTGTGTCGCCCCCTGTAGACCTTAGGAAGAACTTTGAGCAGGAGCCGCTGGGGCGGGAGGTACGGCTCGAACAGGAGGTGCTGCTGCAGTGTCGCCCCCCGGAGGGCATGCCCGCCGCCGAGGTAGATCTCTCCCTCCTCATCCCAATTCTTATTGCTTTTTGCTGTCACTTTTGGGCTTTGTGTTTTTGTATTTATATTTTTTATAGCTCTATATCTCAACCCGAGATTGCAAAGCCGAGATCTAAATAACAACGATATATACAAGGGTGCATATTAAGGAGCGGGCCACCAAAGTTTGAGAGATTTAAGTCTATCCAGCTGCGAGGCACCATCAAAAAAAAAAGTATAGAACGATCAGTAATAATATTCGCCGTTATTTAAACAACGAAGCAAAAAAGGCTATACTTAAATCCACTTTGTGTCATGTTTTAACACTAAGCTGCTTTAACTGTATAGCACTATATCAAACAGTTTTATTTCTCTCATAAAACAGCAGCAAATATATAACAAAAGAAAACAAACTATTCATGAATATAGAATTTTATTACTCAAGTAAATACTTACATTCTGCCAAGCTGTATTATTCTTTTTAGTGGTTAATAACAGTTTATTATGCGGCATTAAAAGCACATAGCATGAAAGTGTAAAAGCTCACGTTTGGTGAATTACAGAATGTGTTTCATGATGAAAACTAATTGTACTGTGGTTGTGGGCTATGATGTTAAGTCCATTAGTAAGGAGGATGTATCAAAAATAAAAGTGAGTTTGGCCAAAAGTAGCCACAAAATCTCCTGAGCAAACTAAAAATGATTAAATATTGACAGCGTTTGATCAATACCACGTGTAGCATTGAAGCGTGTCGTGATGGCCTAATACTCTGCAGGTTTATCGTGTTTACTGAATGGGTCTGTGTGTGTGGTGTGCTGACTCATGTTTATGCATGCACACCTGCTGATTTGTACAATGATTTCTGTGAAGAGTTATCTGCCAAAAGAATTAAAGGAAGTCCGTCATTCAGAACTGCTGCGACTCCGAGGTTGGAGAGTACAGATATTTTTCAAGAATCTAAAATCTTCTGCAATGATTACTTTTTGTTTGAAATTGTACTTTTTTCTTTTTCTATTAATTCCATCACTTTGTGTGATCACCTGAAGATTTCTTTCAGTCCAACAAAGTTCTGATTGTTGTGTATTTGTGTGTGTGTGTGTGTGTGTGTGTGTGTGTGTGTGTGTGTGTGTCACTCTTTAGGTGGACTGGCTGAAGAATGAGGACGTCATAGATCCATCGCAAGACTCCAACTTCCTGATCACCATTGATCATGATCTGATCATCAAACAGGCCAGACTCTCAGACACTGCTAACTACACCTGCGTGGCTCGTAATGTGGTGGCCAAAAGACGCAGCAGCACAGCTACTCTTATTGTTTATGGTAACACACCCACACACGTTTTTCCTTCTCATCTGTGAGGATAAACCTCCTGCCATTCATGATAGAGGTTAGCTATGATACAAAACTGTTAAAATTTTGTTGTATGGGAGATTGTGGGAGATTGATTTAGGTATAATACAGAAGTTATCAAAATCATCCATGTGTTTCTGGTCAGATTGATTTAGCATTGATGACTTTCAAATGAGGATTTCTACATTTTAGCAGCTATATACCTAAATGTATATCTTACTTTTTTGACTAAACTTATTGCATCTTTTATGTAAGACAATGGTGAAAATCAATTGGATTAATTAATTAAATATGATTTGGAAACTACTATGCTTTTTTGAACTATTGATAGCAACTACGTTGTATATTTACAAAGCCTTAAAAAGTGGTAGGCAGTTGAAGAATGGATGAAAGGTTCATTCTGTAAATACACCAGATTACAACACATATATTTAGTAAGCTTGATTTTAATTTTACAAAGTCTTTATAAAGTTTTTACCACAGGATGTAATATTCTCATTTCTGTTAAAGTTGACTAGGGTATTACCTGAAATATCTGCTCACTTTGCCCGTTTGTATGTCTGTCTCTCTGTCAGTGAGCGGAGGTTGGTCTTCTTGGACTGAGTGGTCAGAGTGTAATGCTCGATGCGGGCGAGGCTGGCAGCGGCGTACACGCAGCTGCACCAATCCTGCCCCTCTGAATGGAGGTGCCTTCTGCGAGGGCCCACCCTTCCAAAGAGTGACCTGCACCACACTGTGCCCAGGTGAAGACAACATACTCATCTGTATTATTTATAACATCTGCAGACGAAGTCGTCACGCACTGGAATATCAGGAAATTTCCCAAATGGACCATTTTGCAGGAAGCACCAGGTTGAATTTTAAAACTTCGAAAACGTCAGATGCTGGTTTTCAGTGTTCCTCCATGTGAGGTTTAACCTGAATAATAAAGCCAAGTTGTTATGCTGATTTAAACATTCTCAGCTCAAAAACAAATTCATCTGGGGTGGTGCTCTGGTGGCTTCAGTCCTTGCTGCAGCAACCATGGATTGGGGTCCCACCTGTGGCCCTTTTGCTGCATGTCAACCTCTCTCTCTCTCTTTCCCCCTTTCCTGTGGATCTTCAGCTGTCGTATCCAGTTAAAGAAAAAAGCCCCCAAAAAATATTTTAAAAAAGAACAACTTCTTCCAACCAGGACAGAATAGCATTTGGTCACGTAACTGCTCTGATTTCGTCAAGAAACGTCAGGAACATAGTGTTATCTGATTTACTGTCGTGCACCATTCTGCCACTTATTGCTTTGCCCCGTGTGTCAGACCAACCCGACTCCAAAATCGTTTAAAACAAACCACAGAATGCATTTAGCAAATTGCTAAATTATGCCATTACATATGCATCATGCTGCATTATAACGTCACACCCCAGTTCCCCCTTTGCTGGAGTGATTAGCTGCCGGTTAGCTGTAAAATGACTCACATCTCTGCTGTCTCATTCCAGTGGATGGTGGCTGGACAGAGTGGGCAAAGTGGTCCGCCTGTGGGACAGAGTGCACCCACTGGCGCAGTCGTGAGTGCCAAGCCCCCCCACCCAGGAACGGAGGAAAGCACTGCAGCGGCAGCATGATGGAGAGCAAAAACTGCACTGAGGGGCTGTGTGCGCGCAGTAAGTCACCTGAGCAAGGTGTTTGAGCTGGGGTGGTTAAATGTCAAAGGAGAGTCAATATTGGGCTCATATATATTTCTTGTTGTAATGTATTTTCCTTTAATACAGTTAAGCATCTGTTGAGCTGAGTTCAACTGTCTAATATCTAAAAGAAAAATGGTGTTTCTGTGGTATGTATAGGGGTCAGTTCTGTAACAGCCCTCAATGCTTTGCTGCTTCAGGAGATAGTTGAAGTGATAACACGTCTTGCAGGCAGAGATTTCTTTGCTCATAGCTCACAGTTTTGTAAGGTTAGCATTTCAAAGCTTTTTTTGTATAGAACTGTATTCCCAAGGTGTTTAGCCATTGTAGCATGTTGAAAGTGCGGAAGATGTAGAGAGAGATGAAAGGAAAAACAGCTAAATCGCAGACAGATGTTTCATGAGGCAAAATTTAGGTTCACAAAGAGAGAAGGCAAGTGATCCACATCTAAAGAGCACAGATGGAGAGGGAGGATGAGCGCTAGAGCAAGTGCAGGCAAAGGGAGCGCATGGAGTGGGAAGCGAGCATGACACAGCCAAGTTGAAAAATTAGCACAGGGAAGAGCATATGAGAATGAGTCAGACTCACACTGACACCCAATGTGCAGCCCGTGATGAGCTGGGAGGAATCCAGCTGACAGCGCATTAGAATCTTAGAGACGCACATCCACAGAGGCAGTGAGACACATTCAAGCACACTCTTAAAAAAAACCCACATACACACAAGTTCACAGACCAACACGCCCAAGCATGCAGACAAACCTTGTAAAATGCACGTGCAACAGGGGGGGGGATCATATGCATCATTCTACTTCAACTCTATCAGACGTACACACGAGTCCTGACATAAACAGGCTTCCATGGAACAGCCAGATTAGACAAATACACTGTCTGATTTGGCTGTACAGAGTGGAGCGATCTCAGGGGGCTGTCAGGAAAACATGCACTCGAGTGGCTCTGGCAGAAGGGGGAAGATGGGAAGCACTGTGCTGTAGAAAATCTGTAAATATGTCACTTGGCGAACTACAGGTTACTGATTTATTTTCCTAGCACATTAATGAGATTATTCTGCGGATACAAATTGTCCTGATTACATTATGGTTATTTGCGTTTCTTGCTTCAGACAATCAAACAATAGAGGCTCACTATAATGTCTCACTCACTGTTAATCCCTTTGAGGATCGGCTAAATACCCCAGTCATAAATGTAAAATGCTTTGAGACACCACAAACCATCATCTACACTGCCTCCTAGTCGATTAAAATTGCTGTTGGATGAATGGGAAAGTCAGGGAATCCATTTGGTGCTTTGATGATGCTTGGGAGAGAAGGTTATTTGGTTTTGAGATACAGTGAGTGGCACGATCCTGAAAGATTGTTTCGATATTCATCGGGCCACTCAGGAACGATTCACATTGGTGTTATCTTGGAAAAGATTGTTCCCGTCGGGATAGAGATGGGTTTTTTTTTCATGGGATGGAGGTGATAACGTATCCTGTGGGGTGTGTAAAGAGACGGTTTTAATCTACATTGTTTCCGTCATGTTCCACACAACACCAGCATCCTTGTTCATTTTCAAAACTGTCTTTAACTTTGCCACTCTCATCCAAATGATCATAATGTCTTTCACAGTCATTTTTAATAGGCTTTTATTCCTTGTACATTATGTAAACAATTATGCTGAAGTTCATTCCACAGTACCACACATTCTCACACTTTTCTAGAAGAGGTCATTATTTCTTAGATGTTTTCTTGCTTGCAGTATGCCTTTTATGTTTACATTTCTATTTTCATATTGATGAGCTATTGTTTACTTACCCGTTTCTGCTTTGTATTATGTTCTTGTATCTTTCATTTGCATAACGACTAGTCCATCCATTTTTATGTTGTTTTTTCCTTTTCTTCTTCTCTTGTTTTTTCTCCTGTTCAAACAGATAAAAAGATTTCTATTGAACATGCAAGCCATCGTAAGTTCACCTTCCCATGACTTCACTCTTTCACTGCATCATACTGTTTTTGTTTGTACTGTACTATGTGTGTGTGTGTGTGTGTGTGTGTGTGTGTGTCTGCCAGTGTGCACATACATATTAGTAGTCCTAACATCTGTGTTAGCAAGCAGAGCTGAATGCGTGCAGCGTTTTGTATCGAGCCCGTCTATCCACACTTCGTTGTCATCTCCGATCGAGTCCAGCAAAGACGCGCCTCACCTTCTTGTCCAGCCTGCTTATGAATGTTGTTATCCCATCCTGTCTCATATGTTGACTAAGCGTAACATAGGTTTCTGAGCTGGCTCCATGGTAGCACACTGCATCATTTACATAACAGCTGGCTGCAACTGTAGATTTAGAAAACAGAACATACAGTCACAACAAAGGGTTTCGTAGATGTTGTTGTTAATTAAACAAACTGTTCAAAAACTGGCTTTAACCCAACATGTTGGTGGGAAAAAAATTTACAAGCTGCTATGAAAGGAGCAAAATCACATGACTCGTAGCTGAGACTCTTTGATCCATAGGCTATGAGGTGGAAGCATAGCGCTTTCTGGATAAAAACAGTTGATTTCTGTCTGACTTTCAGTTAATCTGTGATATAGTTTACATTTGAAGTGATGGTAATTCCTCTGGCTCAATGTGACGTGGGCTCAGGGGAGAGAAGCCACGGTAATGCACCTAATTCGCTATTGTTCAGTTTGTGGTAATAAGTGCGGACGGCTGTCGGATTCAGTTCCATCGCGCCACGTGAGCATGGGAGCTCTCCTCTGCCAGCCTGTCTGCCTCCGGCTTTCTTCTACTCTCATTGCTGCTCTGTAGTGTCTGTGGTTTCCTCCTAACTTGTTCCCCACTCTCTCCTGCTCTTTAACATGGGCCTTTTCCTCAAGCACAGCTATCCTTATCTCCTCTCTCCTCCTCACCACACTTATAATCCGTCTGTCCTCTCAACAAATCACCACCTTATCTTACTCCTTCCTATCCCTTTTGCCAAATTGCCTCTCCCCCAGCTTCGTCCTCCTCTGTTTATCCAGCCTGTCTGCTCCTTCTTTTTTGCTCTTCATTGTCTCCCACCAACCTCGCTGCGTGTCTTCTCCCCCTTTCTGCTGTGGTGTGACTGGTTCACGTGTCTGGGCTGGGTATGGATCTGCTAGTGTTGGGGAGTCAGGGTGAAAGCAGGTTGTGGTAGGCCTCATGACCAGTAACAACCAATCACCCAGAAGGAGAAAAGAGAGGGAGCCTAACAGGGAGCAGGTGAAGTTATGGCCAACCAACCTCCTCCCCAACCTCACTTCAATCCATTCTGACTTTTGTTTGTCTGATGTGCCCCCTGCAGGCTAGGAGGATCTGTTTATTAATGTTGATTTCATGAAGGATATGATGAAGCTTTAACTTTAAAGGAGAGGTTCACATCTTAAAACAACACTGAAGGAGTTATCTGTCACTGTGATCATTCCTCCTGTCCATACTGGCTGTGGAGTTATCCACTCCCTAACTTTTAAAATTGTATACCTCACTGTATCGATCTCATTGGCATCATTTTTATGTGAGGTAACATGATGAGTGACTATACATTAACCAAGAAACTATATTAAATGTGGATCGGTCACATCATGGCTGATACCTGATCCACCTAATAAGGTCAGTATTGGCGCCAGTACCCATCTGGCATACAGTCTTTTTTAGTGCAAATGTGAACCTATCCTTGAGGATTTCAATTTCAGCTGTGGCAGCCCAAGGGCTGCAAGTACTGATTATTTTAATTATTGATTGATCTACTGATTAAATTTCAATTAATCGCGTAGTCTCTCAGAGCACACAGTGGTGTCTTCAAACTGGCAGATCAAAAATCCAAAGATACTGAATTTGCAATCGGATAAAAAAGAGAAAAGCAGTAACTCCTCACATTTTAGAAGTGGGAATAAGCAAGTGTTGATAAATGATTAATTGAAAATTGTTGTTGATGTTCTGATGATCCAGTAATCAATTAACCAGCAAATCATTTTAGCACTAACTTGTATTCTAAGTTAGTCTGCTACAACAGATATGTAGTCAGATGATATCTCTTAATTATATTTTCTTTCCTCTCGTGTTTCCCCTGCATTTGTATCTGTGTGTTTTCACATGTTTCTCTTTTCAATGTCTTGACCGTCTGTCCTTCTGTCCCTCTTTCAGCGCTGGCCCCAGGTATGGGTGTAGCAGTCTACGCTGGTCTGGTGGGGGCCCTGCTGCTGTGTGTGATACTGGTGTTGTGCGTGGGAGTGCTCGCATATCGCCGCAGATGCCGCCATCTCCATGGAGACATCACCGATTCTTCGTCTGCTCTCACCGCCGCCTTCCACCCTGGCAACTACAAGCCTCCCAGACAGGGTATGCTCACACACACACATCCATCAGTACACATTCATACACAATTTATCTTTGTTTTTATTTTTCACAACTTTTCTTGTTTTCACTTGACTTGTTGTAGCACTTCCTCACAATTAATTTCATTATCACAGAGCTATTTATATCATCACATATATTAATATACCATTATCTCATCTCGCTTAGTCAATTCTCCATTCTTTACTGCATTACATTTCTTACACTTTAAGCATTTGTCATGGTATCCCTTCTCTTGTACTTTCCATCAAATATTAATTAGCAACATTAATCCGTTTCACTCGCGTCAATTTTAGCACTCTCAGGCCTGCCTGTGTCGTTTCTGGTGATAAGAGAACAGTTCCTCTCTTCTCCCATGTCTACAGATAACCCTCACCCTCTGCATCCCTCAGCTCCTCCGGATCTGACAGCCACAGCGGGGGCTTTCCGTGGGCCTCTCTTCTCTCTGCAGCAGGGAGTCAATGACAGCCCCCACAAGATCCCCATGACCACCTCTCCCCTGCTGGACCCCTTGCCCAGTCTCAAAATCAAGGTGTATAATTCCTCCACTCTTTCGTCACTGGAACTCCCCGCAGACATCTGCTCAGACGGGGAGATCCTCAGCCTGAAGTCGGTGGGTACCGTGGGTAGAGAGCGAGACTACCACAGCCACACCCTTTCCAGAGAACCTGGGCTGAGCACCAGTGCCACCCTGGGTAATCTGGGAGGACGCCTTACCATCCCCAATACAGGTAACATATATCGCATGCAGCTGGCTTTTCACATGCAAATTAAACCAGAATTCAGGATAAGACAAGATAAGTCATGATACCTTCTCCCCCGTAGGTGTAAGTCTGCTGGTCCCCCCTGGCACAATCCCCCAGGGGAAGTTCTATGAGATGTACCTCATTATCAACAAGTGGGACAAAACGACGTGAGTGCCCTCCATCTTTATTCCTCTATTTCACTCATCTGTTTCACAACTAAGGCAGAATAGACCTCATTCTCACCTCAATCAGAAGTTTTCTGAGGCAAAGGCTCACCTACTGCGAACCACTTGAAGTTTATTTGCAAGTTCTATCACTTTTTCCAAGGATAAAAAATGTATCAACTTGTCTCAACTGCTACACTAAAATTGGACTGGATTAATTTCTTGCCAATTTTCTGGAAGTTTTATATTCAGTGTGCCTCAAATACGTCAATACCAGCATGTTCAAAACCGTGTCGTGGCCATGATGTTCTTTTATAAATCAAGTGTGATGTTTTGGCAACTGACTCCTGGTGTTCTCCCTGTGTGTGTGTGTGTGTGTGTGTGTGTGTGTGTGTGTGTGTGTGTGTGTGTGTGTGTGTGTGTGTGTGTGTGTGTGTGTATTTGACATTTACAGGCTACCCTCTGAGGGCAGTCAGACTGTACTTAGTCCTGTTGTGAGCTGTGGCCCGTCTGGTATGCTGCTGAATCGTCCTGTGGTTCTTACTTTGCCCCACTGTGCCCAGCTAGACACACCTACACCTGACTGGACCCTCACACTCAAGACACAGACACACCAGGGGGCATGGGAGGTGAGACAGCCTCTGACTGGTACCAGATAATGGCTTTCTTGTTGGCAGATGTGTCATCATCGAACCCTACTTCGGTCTCTTTACAGGAGGTGCTGACAGTAGGAGAGGAGACTTTGTCGTCTCCGTGCTACCTCCAGCTGGAGGAGGAGTGTTGTCATGTTCTCATGGAACAGCTGGGAACGTACGGCCTGGTGGGCCAGTCGTGCCCCCCACAGCCAGCCTGCAAACGCCTGCAGCTGGCACTGTTCGCCCCCCGAGCACCCTGCCTCTCCCTGGATTACAGCCTCCGTATCTACTGCATCCACGACACCCCACATGCACTCAAGGTGCTGCTCTTGTGTTTGTCACTTGACCTTTTACCTTTCAGACCTGTCAGTCTGGCAATACTATACTTATGGTGTGGATTAATAAGTGCATTACTGGTAATTTAGTTAAAGCTGCAAAAGCCAAGATTTTGTAAAATGTGACTATATACATCATGTCAGCTTTAGTTATAAAGTGCAATTAAAATAGAGCTTGGTTTGGTCATAAATGACATACATATAACACACTTGTCCAAATAGTCCCAAAACAAAAATTATGTTTACTGTATTCACTGATGGTTTTCATTAGGAATGTCATAACAACAAAAACTCTAACTGTTTTACAAAAGACTATCCTTTAGCACAGATACACACAATTATTTTACAAGTCAGGTGGTGGAGGTACCAAAATCCAAACCGCATCAGTTCAGCGTACATTACTGCAACGGTAGAATGAAATTCACTTACAAATCATCATTACAAAACAAAATAATACATTTTTAAAATATTTAAAATAGTGCTAAAAGAGCATTACTTAAGAGCAAACTTATATCTTAAGTACATTCCAGGTGAAATTATATTTATCTGCTAGCTCATGACATATTTAGTCTTTTTTAATTTAAATTTTTTGTCTGTGACTTTAAATTGCGTCAGTTGGTATTGTTTTATTTACAGTAGATGTACATTATGATGTTTTGTGTTAGCGTATTGTGAAGAGTAATATGAGTGCGTATATGTGTATGGTATCACCACGTCACCTCATAAACTGTGCGGATCCCAAGAAGAATAGTGACTATTATGCAGAAGCAAATGGGGATCTTAATAAACAAACAAACAGTCACAAAAACAAAACAAAGGACACAGATTAAATCTATTATGAAATAATGAAATATGAACCATGCCACAGCATAATAACACAGAAGTTAATATGTCTCATTTCCATCGTAGTCCGGGGCAATAGAGGAGTCCCATCCGCTCTAAACTGAGGCCCTGCAGATCCACACTACTGGCCCAAATCAAATTCTCGTATCACTTATTGAATCTTTCTTAGCCACCAGAAGGAAAGACTCAAAATAGTACAGCACAATACAAACACCCTGCTAAACAGCAAGTTGGACTCACTGATGTTAAGTATTTTCTCTCTGTCGGTCCCTTTTGTATAAAGTGTTCACAGACCAGCCGGGGTAGTAAACATGAGCGTGCTGTGTGCAGTTTACTGGCATCACATTACATGAGTTCTGGCTGCTAAAGTTCAAACAGCTTTCAAACTGTTAGCTCTCACACATTTCCATTTGGAGACACCAACTTAGAGAATGCACCCCACATTTTAATTAAGGATTTTTGGAAAACCTGTTTTGAAATGTGTTAGGATGATAAACCCATCATGAAATTGATCAAATAAATATGTCCCTAAGCCCATCTTATCTCTGCCTCGGTGCAGGAGGTGCTGGATTTGGAGAGGAGTCTAGGTGGAGTTTTGCTGGAAGATCCCAAGCCGCTGTTCTTCAAAGACAGCTACCACAACCTGCGCCTGTCCATTCACGACATTCCTCACACGCACTGGAGAAGCAAACTACTGGCAAAGTATCAGGTGAGACACTCAAAATGCTGATGATACTCTATTACAATATTATGTGTATTAATATGTATATATATCCACAGAGCACAAATCATGATCAGCCTGAATAATGCAGATTATTAAAACATAAGTCCTTTGCAAAAACTGTGGTTTAACAAACTTTTGACATCATAGTTGAATGTCTATTTTCTCAGAAAACATAGCCTGTGGATTTCCTACTACTCGCTGCTGTTGTAAACATCCAAACCCTGTGCTGCATTCTCTTGGCGGCAGCACCGAGATTGCAGTCTGAACCCTCTCTGAATAAACAAACAGGAAATCTGATAGTGCTCCTAATTTATGGACAGTGCACTTTAGAAATAAATTGTCCTCTGATACCCAGTTGGTGGAAACACCCGATATCAAAATAAAGCATATTGCACTCTCCTTGAATGGAAACCGTGTTCTAGATCCCTCCTGATAGTGCTGCTCAGGACAAAGCTACTTTAATCACAGTGTAGAGACCTTTTTTACCCCAGCTGTCCCTCTTAATATAATTTCATTGTTTACAGGAGATCCCGTTCTATCACATCTGGAGTGGCAGTCAGAGACCCCTGCACTGCACCTTCAGCCTGGAGAGAGGCAGCCTGGCTGTGTCACAGCTCACCTGTAAGATCTGTGTGCGACAGGTGGAAGGGGAGGGACAGATATTCCAGCTGCACACGGATATTCAGGAGGTAACGCTGACAACGGAAATAATGCTCGTGCATAAAATTGCTATGAAAGCCATACAGCTATACCAAAAAATACAATGGTTGGCCTCAATGCTTCTCACCTTCTCTGTCAATCCAGACTCTACCACCGCACTCGCCCCTCCCCTCAGGAGGCACATGCCTGCCTTCCTCTCAAGTGGGACCCTATGCCTTTCGCTTGCCTGACTCCATTCGCCAGAAGATCTGTGCCAGTTTGGATGCGCCCAGTGCTCGGGGATGTGACTGGAGACTACTGGCACGCAGTCTGGGCTTTGACAGGTCAGATCTGCCTCCCATGTTTATGTGTGAAAGGAAGCTTTGGTCACGCTTTAGCTGTAGAGTCCAGTGTTGATACTCAGGTTCCTACTGTCAAGTGATGACTCAGAATTGTGTAAAAGGTGTAGATGTAGATATTCACTGTCTGAGGTTAGATGTATGGGGTTATGATTTAAAAAGGGGCTCAGTTTAGAGTTGGGTTTGAACAGAAGAATTTAACAACTGTGAAAAACATTATATTATATTCTGGTCGCATTGATGTAAACAAACTTGAATATTAAGTTCAGGAATATGATTCAGCCATGCATTTCTTTCAGAAGATATTTTATCTTGCTAACTAGCTAATCCTGCTGTGTGAATTATGATAGTTCGTTGGGCATCAATATTGGACTGTCAAAATAAATTGGTACCAGCAATATTTTCATCATACAGTATTAATGACTTGAAGATGTTTGCAATCAGTAATGGATTTTTTCTTTTCTTCTTCCTACTTGCATGGTCTTTCTTTCCTTTTAGGTACTTGAACTACTTTGCAACAAAGCCTAGCCCCACGGGTGTTCTACTGGACTTATGGGAAGCTTGTCACCAAGCTGACGCAGACCTGGTCTCTCTGGCGACCGCGCTGGAGGAGATGGGCAAAAGTGAGGTGCTAGTTGTCATGACAACAGATGGGGATTGTTGATTGGTCAAGGAAACGAGAGAGCAAGCAAGACATTTTTTTTCACCACCGTGATGAAAATAATGATACCTGCCTATGAATATGCACACCCTGGCACAAATCACAGATGCCCACAGAGCATTTTGGTTCCTTCATGTACTGTATTACCTCTGCCTCGTCTTCATTTTCACTGCCCCCTGATCAGCCACTATAGCTACATACCCACAGTAACCCATTCCAATGCGGGCCATCCCATGATAACTGCTAACCTGATTCAGCTTGAATCCTCCAAAGCAATGTTTCATCTGCAAGATGTGAAACCAATTTGAGGCTACGAAGGCGTAAAATGGGTGTTAAGTCATCTGTCATATTCGGTGATGACTGTCTTCTTCAATGATTGAAAATGACACTATTCTTGTATATAAATAAGACAGCTTTGGGACAAACAGAAGAAAAATCCATGTATTCAACACCCAAAGGCACGCACAATAACACAAAAACACAACGTTAACGCGGGATTACCCATGTTACCGTAGCAGAATGAAGGTGCGCGATTTACCACCATCTCACCTCATGGCAGGGGCTTTTGTTTTCTCCATTGTCATTCTGTGTGTGCAGTGAATGACAGGCAGCACCGACCTGTCTGCAACCTCCTCAGGCTACAGACACACTCCAACACACACACACACACACACACACACGGACAAACTGGTCATTAACCGGCTCGGAATCAGACAGGCTAGGATTTCTTGTCTTCTTCGACTGACGACAATTCACATGAGGACCGAACCCTCAAGGTTTGAGGGCTTGAGCGTATCGCTTTGAGCTGAAAATAAAAGCTGCCTCTTCTTTGTCGTAGGAGGGCGAATTGTGAAGTTTGTTTAAGAATTGGCAGATAACTAGACTGACTGACTCTTTATATTGTACCAACAAATGCCTCAAAGCCTTGGCATATCATTCCGACTCACAGGGGTGTTTCTCTTTCATCTCTCCTCGCATTCCTCTATCGCTCCGCCACACTCCTCCGATCTGTCGAGAACAAACTGCAGGAGAGCTCTCTGGTCATCCCTTAAAAGTTTCCTTTGGGGAACGCTCTTTAAGTTATTATCCATATTTGTGGATTGTTTTTGTTTCTTTGTTTTATTTTTCTTTGTAATTGCTGTTAACGATCATATAGAACCTGTTCTGTCATCTGTGCTTCTTTAGGCTACTGAGCTGCTGTGTTTTATTTTTGATTCTAGCAGAGCGGGCCAAATGGGAGCACAGTGGATGTCTCAGTTGTGAATAACAAAACCATGTTTATTTGTTATTTTTAATACTGTGTATCTATTCAAAATGTAAAATATAATCTGTAAAACATGATTAGAGATGGTCAGATGTCTAGGTGAATATACCATAGGCATTTTGCTTCGCTGTAACCGAGGGCAGTTTCCACTGTTCAGAATATTACAGAATAGATCAGCCTTGCCTTGAATCAACTAGGCAGCAAGGGACCATAAAAATTACCTCAGCACTAACTGCATCATGTTTCAATCTATTCTCTGTCCACCACTTATCTATGTGTCCATCACCCTGTAACTCATCATTTCTCCTCTTTCATTTAACATATTGTTAACCTTTTTACTAAGCCGCCTGCTTTGTGGTCAGGGTCCTCAAGCTATTTTCATTATCAATATTGTTCTGTCAGTTATTGTTCGACGGAAATTGAAACGCTGTCATCTATAACATTGTCATTACTTAAGTTCTGTGTGTTATTGAGTCTTTTTCTCCCTCAAAGCAAAAACAAAAAAAGTGTTCATATCTTTGAAACCACAAAAACCAAAACACAGGCAGTATCCCTCCTCTTCAGCAGTGAGTCATGTCACTGTTTTGTGTGAATGAACTGAAAACACAAGTGTGTCTGTGTGTGTGTGTGTGTGTGTGTGTGTGTGTGTGTGTGTGTGTGTGTGTGAGAGAGAGAGAGAGAGAGAGCATGTGTTGAGTGAGTGGGTATGTGTGGGCAGGTGGGTGTGCACACGCAGTATGTGCACACACTTAAGATCTGTCATTTCTCTTTGTAAGTGCTATGCAAGTACAAAAGAAAAAGTGAAGCATTTTGACTTCTTTTGTTTCCTGGAAGAGTAATTCTATTTTTTCAGATCAGGGCATTGACAGGGTTTTGATTTTGTAACCTAAAGTGGTTTAAGAGTGGTTTAGCATTTTTGGTGATGGATTGGAAGAATTGGATCTCTGACCAAGGAAGCTAGTACTGAAAAAGCACATGTGGAAGATCAAAAAAAAAAGGATGGTGCAATGGCTACAAAACAAGTTGTGACTAACATCATGGACTCGTGCCCTGCAGGTCTTTACCCATGAGGAAATCTCTGAACATGACCAGTTCAGTACTTTGGATCCCTGAACACTGCAGGACTATTTTCTTTCCTCGAATCTTGTTACAGAGACTGGCTAGCTGTAGACTACAGTGTTTATTCGTCCAGATTTCTTGAGTGTGTGTTGGATCTTTGGCCATAGCTCTGGATCATGCTAGAGCTGGACTGGATTCGCCCATGCTCCCATCAAAGAGAAGAATTAAGCATTTGTTCAAGACGACAGACATTTTTACGAAAAAAACAAAATGGATTCAGTGATATTATTTTATCTCTGTAAAGTACCAATTGTAAATAAACGTCTAGCCTTCTTACCTGTAACTAAATATAATTTTTATGCAATAAATTATATTTCTTAGTTTAACAACAGTGTGTGTGTCTGTGTGTGTGTGTGTGTGTGTGTGTGTGTGTGTGTGTGTGTGTGTGTCTGTTGTTATTGGATTAAAACTTGTTATTGCAAAACCAAACAATGTAGGAGCAGCATTGCATTGAATCCATTCACCAAATTGCAGACTTCTTTGGAGCTCCTTGGCAGGACAAATCTCTGTTAAATGGCATCTGTGTTTTTATCAATTACACCCCATTTTCACAGTAAATGCAGAGCTACACAGCCTGACCCTCTTTTTCCTCACACCTCATTGGAAAATTCCCTTTAGGTCCATTTAGCTTTGAAAGCATTTAACTGGCAGGCTGTCTAGCCTTCAAATTAACAAGGTTTGAGAGACACTAAAAGTGGCCTTTAAGGGTTGACTCTGGTCATTTAGATGGAGCATTCTAACCTCGGTTGTTTTGTTTTTTTACAAGTGCAGGATGTGTGGGGATTCGTCAGTTTAGGCTCTTATGTTGAGAACAAATATCACAGTGAGTCATCTATGGTGAGTGTGCACTGCAGTATTCTGTTAATGGCAGGCAACACTGCACCTGTTTCATTACATGCACTGCTAATTGAGGACTTATATGCCACCCTTCAGTGCATGAGTTAATTGAACCTTTATGATACATAAAGTGATTGTACAGTTAAAAGCTGATTGCAGCTTCAACCCAATCCCCTCACCTCTACACAGGATGTTGTTGTTACATTTCAGTGAATAAATCAGTGAGAATAATATTATTCTATAATATATCATTATCACGCAGGCGTGAAAAAACTATTTTAAGGACATTATGTATGTGATGCCAGTACATGCATACACATGGCTCACAACATTTACAACACATTTTTCTAAACAGAAAATAAAAATATATATTTCTGAAAATAAATATGTGAGCATATGCACTGAGACATACAGCATCTAAGGTTTATATCATAATGCTCTCTCCTGAAAATATACAAACCCATGCACCTTCCTAAAAAGAAAATGAGAAAGGCCTCATTGGCCTATTTGATTTTAGAAAAACAATGTTGTACATTACTTGTGCAGATTGGTCCTGCACAATTACATCTGTAGTTGTGAAGGGGGAAACAGCAGTTCAGCAGCTGTGAAGTTGAATAGGCTTCACAGTTGGACAGTAATTCATTTGATAATGATTAGTTTAGTCCAGTGGTGTCTGCGCATGTGTCAAGTAGAGCCAAGAGTCTGCATGTTCTCACTCCAGTAAGATACACAAAATGCGTTATGTCTGACTGTAAAGAGTAGTCGTATTTCTTCTTACAGGAGCTCTAATTGTTTTCATATTCCAGATAGGTGTAGCAACACTCAACTGGATATGCTGTACCTTTGGGGCCCTCTACTGGTAAATGAGAAGGCTAACCCACACTTTTCAACAAAAGCCAGTTTACTATGTGCTGCAATATAATAAATTGATTCTGGTTTAAATAAACAGGGAATATTTACAATATGTGGGAAGTATCACATGCTTTTGTATTTCACTGTACTGTACAAGAAAACAATAAGGGACATTTGTAGATTCATTTCCTATTAACAAACATGACTTTGTCCATTATAATATCAAAGCCACATAGCCGCATAGACGGTGTAGGAATTACCTGTGATAAATGCTATAAATAATATTTTATTGCAATACTTACGATTTTTTATGCTAGTTTTATTATCGTTCATTGATCAGATTGTACATATGCCACAAACCACACTTTAGAGATAACAGATCAAAATCCAATGGAATTTCAATACAGATTTCACAAAGGTTTCATATGCTACACCTTTTATTATTTTAAAGTTCAATATTGGTGGCTTATAGAGTTTCTTAATGATATAGGACTTTCTTTTATAGAATTTAAATTTAAAGAAATCCCTCTGTAAAAGCTCGGTTTGACTATAAATGAAGTTTCTCTATCATTTAAATCTGTACATTTGAAAGTGTTAAATGTATTTTTTTATGTTTACTATCACATGCAAGTACACAGCTTTTTGATATCTTTCTTAATTTTGGAGCAGATCCCCATACTACAACTATTTGTTTGTTTGTTTTTCAAAAAGGACACATTGTAAGTTGGTAAAAAATTAGTAGAACCAAGCCGCTTGTAGACTTTTTACTTTTAAGATTTCATATTTTAAATTAGGATCGAGTCTCTCGTACATTAATTACACTCTTATTGTGAAAAATATACGCTTTTAATCAGTCTGGGTTAGATTTGCGTAGATAGTGATTTTATTCTGAAGGATCCATACCGGAAGTCGTGTTGTTGTTGCTGTTGAAGCACAATGAAGAATGTTTGTCAGCTGACCAGAAATGAGGTGGGCTATGAAATGGATTTCGGTGTCGGTGTAACACTTCTACAAAGACAGAAGCAGCAGCCAGTGAGTCTCTAACAATGAGGTGATGTCTATATTTATGTTTAATGAAGCCACGGGTCGAGTAAGTTAGCAACGTCTGTGGGTACTTTGTACAGGGAACCCGCTTTTAGCTAGTTAGCCTCTGATGTTAGTTTACGTGTTGGTCTGCAGACAGCTAAACAAATACAACTTTAAATGCCTGCTCGCGTTAAAAAAAACCTAATAAATCAGACGGAAACAGAGTGAGCAGTGTACTTTTGCAATGGGAAGTGACAAAAAAAAAAAAAACCCGGTGGTGAATCTAGCTGTCTTAAGCATATTGTTCAGTGTAGTCTGAAGGGCTTTGTAATTGCTTGTTCTTGGGTAAGCATCATGTGAATACTTGTTCCTCATTAGTTGCACACATGATGCTTTAGGATGCAAGCTCAGCTTTGTACTGCCGTGTCCGTCTTCCTTTAACCTCCTTAAATAGTTAGAGTAATAACCTCTTATTGTGCAAGTGAGTGAAAGCCTATTTCTGTCAGTGGCAGCCGGAATAGGACCAGAGGTTGCAGCTTTCTATCTCATGACTGTTCCTCCGTGCATCATGCATTACTTGCTTTTGACAGTGGTGGTTGTGGTTTGCAGATTAAACTGTAGTGATTACATCTGTAGTGAAATAGGTGTGGTAAATGCGGATGGAGGGCTTTGTCTGGAGCATTAGTTTGGGAATTGCCAAGCCGTTAATCCAGTTGTTTACATCAAAGTGGCACATTGAGAAAAGGACATGCTCCATGTCACATTCCACATCACCTGAATCATGGTTGATGAGTCATTGTTTAATTGTGTACCTTTTGGTTCTCATTGAGGTAATGGTTCAGTGTGCTGAGTACAGCGTCTTCATTTTGGAAAATACCTGTCAGTATGCCCAGAATTTAATGATAATTCTCAGAGTTGAATGTGACTCCTTGCTCTGCAGCGTCACAGGATCTGGACAGTTGGACTGATCTCTACCAGCTACAGCAACCCTCTCCAGATTATGGCTCTTCAACAAACACAGTCTGTTTTTGCTTTTCTGGATAAGCACAAGTAAACGTAAGTGTCATCCAAACCCCATTTATTGCTATAACATTATTATTATGCAGTGATTTGTTTTTAAACTTGTTTTTCTTCTTCTTTTTCTTCTTCTTATTCTTCTCCACAGCTTTCTCCTCAACACTTCCTGTCTTACTGTTCTTCTATTGCCTCAACCTTCCCTTTTCTCTTTTGTCTTCCCTTTTGTGAGCGTTGCTTATTCAGTCTGTGAAAATGGACGACACAGAGCCAGTGCAACCCAGCCTCAACTCCTCCTATATTCCCACTGGTCTTGGCAACCACCAAGTATCTGAGGATGAGGAGAGCGAAGACCCCTCTGCATCACTCTTACCCAAACATTCGTCAGTGCCTCTGGCCGTGCGCTACAGCCCAGAGGACTCTTATTGTTTGGTGTACATAATCTTCTTTCTGCTGGGCATTGGCTCCCTGCTGCCCTGGAACTTCTTCATAACAGCCAAACACTACTGGCTCTACAAACTGAGTAACAACACTGATCGCAGCGGTAATGAGGAGCAACGTTCAGACCTCAGTGTGAGTGTGACGGATACTAAATACAACAGCGCTGTGTTTATTGTGCATGTGTGTACACAGGAAGATGCACATTTGTGCCATTCTCCATGCTTTTCACAGCACCGTGACAATCCTGTGACAGCTGTGAGGACTGAGTGTCCTTTCACATCTGACAGAGATCCCTCGCAACACAATTATAGAATTAGTAATGCCATTAGGCTGTTGAGGGGAAACTAAGATAAAGGTAGAGATGGGTAGAGGCAAAGGGGTCAATGAGATCTGCTTCCATACTGTGTGGAATTTATTAATAAATTCATGGTGGCATTTAGTATGTTGTGATTCCTCAGCAATCTCAAAAGAATGTCTCTCTGCAGGAGTTATGCCAGAATGGGCCTGTTTTTATAAGAACAGCACAATGAAAGCCAGGCTGTTATTTTAGGCAAGATAAACTGCTGACAAGTCCATTAAATGGTCTGGATGAATTCTACAGATCGCTGCTATGCTAAGATTAATGCTTGGGTTGATTTGACGTGTGTATATTTCTCCCCTCTCCTTTCACTTCCTCTTATTTTGGGTGAGACACTTATTTTAAGTATTTGAGTGTGTCTTTTCTTATTCAAGCAAATTGTTTCGTCCTTTCTGTAACTGTTCACAGGACTACTTTGAAAGTTATCTGGCCATTGCCTCCACGGTGCCCTCAGTGCTGTCTCTGATACTCAACTATCTCCTAGTCAACAGGTTGATTCCCCAAACATACACACACATACACACAGCACACTCCTCTCAGATTTTTGTCTTTAAGTCTCTCATGCTGTTTACCATGATATAAAGTATAAGGTACATATAGTATAGTTTCACTTGTTCTGTGAACTAATTGTTTGCCACATCTGTCCCATCTAGATTACTGTTATGTCTCTGACCTTAAATGATTTGTGTCTCTTCAAATTCCCTCTGGACTTTGATCAGTCTGTGCTGGTCTGAGATAACATGGAGCATAGGGGATGTTTTGTCATTTTGAACAGCATCTCTGCAGCAGAGTACATTTTATATTTATTATTTGTGTGCATAATTAATAGCTTACTGCCTCACAAGTGTGTTGTACAAAGACTGTACTCATCAAACAAAACTGTACAAAACATCTGCTTCATTTTTGTTTTATGCTGATCAACTGATCTTTGAGAAACTCCTGCCTAATCCCATCATCTATGTGTGTGCGGTGTTGGTAGGTTGTCTTCCAACGTGCGGATCCTGTCGTCTCTTTTTGTCATCCTGTTGGTGTTTGTGCTGACCACGGTGCTAGTGAAGATAGACGTGTCTGACAGCCGGGTGGAGTTCTTTATTGGCACGCTGGCCTGTGTGGCTGTCGTCAGCGGAGCCTCCAACCTCTTCTCTGGCAGCGTGTTCGGGATCAGTGGGCATTTCCCAATGAGGATTTCTCAGGCCCTTATATCAGGTACAGTCCTATCAGGTCATGGTCTTTGTAGCTGTACTGTAGTTTATACAGTACCATCATACAAGTAACTTTCTTCTGTCTTGAAATCCATACATATACACTATTTAGTAGCTTCATTAAGGGTTTATTGACAAAATAACTGACTATATTATGTCATCGTCCTCCTAAAGAACAGATTGCAGACCTCATTTTGGAGCAACTTGTTCCATATATTTGCATATGAATGAAGCACTGATGTTGCTCAAAAAAATGACTTCAGATCTCTAATGCCTTAAAGATGTGTTCACTGCATTGCTAGATACTTTCATAGATACATTTTTCAGTTAATTAACAGGTTTAATTACTGACCTCATTAGCATAACTCGTTGTGTGCTGTGCAGAACAGGAATAAACAGGTATAGAAAATGGATGAACTAAAGGGGAGTTTGGGAAGCTGACCATATAATCATAACATTCTCCGGGTGAAGCCTGGGGACACTTTGTTGCATGTTGTCCCCCTCTCTCCCTAATTTCCTGTCAACTCTGATGTACTTGCAAAAAAAGATAGATGTATAGTTATGTTTAATATATAGAGGTAGCTGGAAATTAGGCAGCTCAAGTGTCTGTTGACTGACTGAGTACATAAACTGGTCCTTTTTTTGTCCTAGGCCAGGCAATGGGAGGCACGTTGAGTGCAGTAGCTTCAATAGCAGACCTGGCATTGGCGAAGGATGTGACAGACAGCGCTCTGGCCTACTTCCTGACAGCTGACATCTTCATCCTGCTCTGCATCATCACATATCTGCTGCTGCCCAAGCTGGCATATTCAAGGTCAGTAGCAGTCAAAGATATTCTGGTTCCCATACAGAGACATACACTCTGTCAAACCCATATTTACAAGGTAGGCAATGATAACATCCTCCTTTGTACTGTAAAATGTGGAAACTATAGATGACACTGTTATCTATAGTTTAACAGTGTGCATTATTATTATTATTGATGTTGTAGTTGTCATTCTTCATACTACCACCAGATGGTGCCAAAGTTAAATTACTTCAAACTAATTGTAATTAATATTCTAAGCTTACCTGTTCCGGTTATTTTGTATGTGCATTTAAGATTTGTGGCTACTGTTTGATTTGATGTCACATTTAACACAGTCGACTGATGCAATTAATATTTTAGATGTACTAGTTATTCTAAAGCATGCTGTGTTCTGCTTGTCTTCTCTCTAGACACTACATGCTGGCAGCAACATGCACCAGTTCAGGAGTGATGAGCGAGGGGGGAGCAGCAGAGGGAGCAAAAGTCTCCGTCCCACCACTACAGCCTATCCTCAGGAAGACGTGGGTGCTCGGCTTAAGTGTCTTCTACGTCTTCTGCATCTCTATCATGGTGTTCCCTGCAGTATCCTCAGGAATCCAGTCTGTCCACAAAGACAGCGGCAGCCCCTGGACAACCACTTACTTTGTGCCCCTCACCAGCTTCTTCCTGTACAACGTGGCAGACTTTTGTGGCAGGCAGGCCACGGCCTGGCTGCAGGTCCCTGGTCCCACCAGCCGAGTCTTGCCTGTACTGGTGCTATGTCGCACCATCATGGTGCCACTTTTCATGTTCTGTAACTACCAGCCGAGGGACCACCTCCACACTGTGCTTTTCACCCATGATTTGTACCCTGTGGTCTTTAACTGCCTGCTAGGCCTTACTAATGGCTACTTAGGCACTCTGCCAATGATCTATGGCCCTAAGGTGGTACCTCGGGAGCTGGCAGAGGCCACAGGAGTGGTCATGTCCTTCTTCCTCACTCTGGGACTGGCTGTTGGATCTGCTTTTTCAGTGCTTATTGTGCACTACATCTGACCAAGCAGTTACTAAGCAATGACTTAGTCATTTACAGTGGTATAATGGTATTCAAAGGGCAGTAGCTGGGCAGTGACAAATACCAGAACTGTGACTGTGATACAAAGCGCACAAGTGACGTCAGTTGTTTGCCATGAGGGAAAAGTGCTGATAAGCTTCTCATTTCCACTTTTCACCATAAAGCCATGACTCCTTCATACCTCACATTAATGTGTGTATTGTTTACACTGATGTGGCTCATGATGTGAACCTCAGGGCTCTGTCCGCCATGACTTGGTCTCTACATATTAGAGATCAGGAAGGTGCTTTCCAAGCAACATGAGCAATCTCTGTAATCAGGGACACTTGATTTAACAAAGCTATTTTTTATTACACACATTTTGAACACATTGATTTACTTTAAATGGGTAAAATACTGTGGTATATAATAAGTTATGCAGAGGGTGTTATTATTTTAGTTAAACTTTAATAAAAACATGCAGATGGAAAAGAATGACCACATCTGGTTGAGGGACAGCTGGAATACGCGGCTAATTTTTGATGAACATGTGGATTTGTATTTGCTCTGTAAACCTTGTAACTGAATTTGGACAGCCTGACCATTTCCAGTAACATTTATTTTGGTCATCATTTTCAAATGTGCACTTGAGTCCATTAGAAGTAAACCTGTAAATATTTGATCTTATTCCTACAAGCCTTTGTCTGCTTGTTAAATAATTATACCATCTTTGCAACTTGGGCACAATTAACCTTCTGTTCTCTTTACTTCTCAAACTACAAATAATGTACTAAATTACAGTTAACTTTTTTTATTTTGTTTTTTTTAAAGTTCACTGTTGTACATTATCTATCTGAAACAATGTTTGACCCAAGTTGATAGTGAGCTGGACTAAAGCAAATACCTCTTAGGAGAAATTAATGTAGACACTTTTTGTAGTCCATTTGGAAAGTCAGGAGCAACATGCAGATTACAGACAGTTTTGTCACAGTATTATATACACAAGTATAGGTATTGTATATGGAAAGTTAAGGAGTGTTCTTTAAATGACCCAGACATGACAGGAATACTTGGGATTTCAGTTTCCAGCAAAAGAAAATAAATGGAACCAAGTGGATTGGGATCGCTTTTAATTGTTAAAAATTTACAGAAGAACCGACAGTTGGTTCAGGCTTTGAAGCAGACGACAATCGAATTTGAGATGTTTTCTGTACGTTAGAAACGCAGTGATTTACAAACAGTAGGAAGAGTGCAAACAATGGGAGGTACACTTAGAATACTTACCTCCATATCAGCTCCTTAAAACAACAACAACAACAACAACAACACAAACATCTACAAAATATAAATTTTGTTTTAAGGATCAGACATACTGCTAAAAGTAATGCCAGTCATTCTTAACACACTGAGCTGTCTCTCCTGCAATCAGGAACCATATATAGCTTGGGGGGGGATAATAGAGGAATAGAAATCTGATGCCATGTCAACATTATACAACATGTGAAACTTCAATGTGCGTTTTAACACACATCACACCCAGCAAGCAAGCACTGTTAGCTAGTAAAAGCCAAATGCAAACCTGTGAATCCAGACAGTGAAGCTTTGTGACTTCTGCTCAGTGAAGCAGTAACAGGCTGAGCTATACCTGTAATCACTCCTCCCCAACCCCCACTCAGAAAAAAACATGTCCAGTCCCTTTCCACCATGACATCATTCAAAACATTAATTCAAACATAAATTGCAGTCATGTAAGTCCATTAAAAAAGAAAGCAGGACAAAAATTAAAAGTGGGAAGCAGCACTACAGTATTTTCTTTTTAATTCCCTACAGGTCAGTTTGTGCTGGTTTGTTCCTCTTCCTCTATACCCACACGTGGCGTTGGCAGTGAGCCACAGCCTAAAAGACAGAAACAACTGGTTAGACGAGCCACTCAAAGCAAACTTCTATGATAAAAATAAGTTTTGAAAACAATCAATTGTGACATGCAATACATTTTAAAAAGGGAAACATCTATTGCATAGCGGAAGTCACTGCAGTCATCGGTTTGAAAAATTAAACGCCCCATAATCCCAGTCTGGGGACGGGGACGCACATTTGGGTGTCAAAATATGACTTGACTACTCACATTGCACCGAGTTGCTGTCTCCATGTTCTTGCACCAGAATGCAGGTCCCCAGCTGCACTGCTCTGTTCCCAGCAGCCTGCGGTTAGCTTCAGGGCAGGCTCCCACTTTCTGTTACAAAACACACAAACACAGCTCAGATGCTTAAAAACCTATAACATTTACTGTCCATTACCAACAATCTATAGAAAAAGAAAAAGAAATTGCCATAATGTCAAGAATTTTGTAAATTTTTCAAGAGGTCCTGGATTAATTGAGTTATGTTTCCTGGTAAGGTAGATAAAAATGGTATTTAGTTAAGAATTTATCTAGTTTACCATGCAGACAAAGTCTGGGTCCAGCATCTGGAGCAGCAGCTGGACAAGCACTGGCTCATACTGTTCAATCATCTGGTCACACTGTTGAAAGACACAGAGGGGTTATTGGAAGGCTGTCACATGAGGATAAAAGTTACACATGGTAAGAAGATGCAACTCCTCACCTCCGTCTGGAAAGAATCTGGCAGGAAGCTGCACACTTTCCTCACAGCCTCCTCAATCTGTGCCTCTGTAGCATTCTTCTCCAGAATCTCATCAATGTAAGTCACGGCCATCTTGCACACCTTGCAGTAGGCACCGTCCTTAAAGCGAGTCTGGTCGAGGACAGCTGGAAAGAATTAGAACAGAAGTCACTGTTATTACCATGAGGAAATACAGATGCACAACTTCTGCTGTCAACAAAGCTAACATTTGCCTTCAAAGCGCTTTAAGGAGTGACAACTTACGGACATATGTGCGGCTGGCACCATTGCAGAGTGCCAACACGGTGCAAACGGTCTTGGGGTCAGCCTGCTGCACCAGCAGCTCAATGATTGCCTGGCCGTAAGTCTCAATCAGGTCCTTGCACTGGCCACTCAGAGACTGGGGCAGAAATGTGCACACTTTCTCCACAGCTTGAATCACCTCCTCCTGAAACAGACAAACAGATGAGCTTGGCTGCACAGAAATACGTTGGCAGCAGTTTCGTAGATTTTCAGGGCCATATTGGATATATCTAGCAGCACACATCCCACCTCTGTAGTCTGATCCTCCAACATAGACTCCAACTGTTTCATCACAAACTCACAGATGGCACAGGTTGGGGAATCACGCACACGCACCATTGGCTGGAACACAAAGGAGGCAAATCTCATGTGCATGTACAACACTGTGCAGTAAAACAGACTTATCTCGATCAATATCAGTCACATGTGGATGACACCACGACTTACCTTAGACTTCTCAGTGGCAGACTCCACCTTAGTGGCAGGGAAAAGCTTGAGAGCAGGTACAGACTTGGCAGCAGGAACGGTCTTGGCAGGCTGCAGCTTCAGCATTGGAACGGATTTCTTCATAGCGGCACAGAAGCCAGCATGGACACAGATATCCTTGGGTTGCTGAGGATCAAAACAGACAATTATTTCAGGATACACAGCCAAAGGTCTACAAAACTTGTCACATTGCATGCGGTTAGCATAAACCACATGCTTCCAATCTGCATATTATTCCAAAGCATTACCACCCATGCAATATGCACAAGTTTTTATGATATTAAAAAAAAAAAAAAAAAAAAAGAAAAAAAAAAATCTAACACATCCTTCTTTTACCAGTTCCAAACACACACCAACAAACACCCATTCCGGCATTTTTTTTTTTTTTTTACTTCTGCAGCTCTGACTCTTGAGGCATCCAACAAAACCAGCTAGTGTTAAATAAAGCCATATACAACACAATAAAGATGGTGCTTTTCTGATGAGACAGCCACTTCAATGTTAGTAAAAACCAGTGAATCTCCAAGTTGACTTGTTTATGCAAACAAAGTCACAAGCATACTTTAAATATGAGAGGACGATATGCTTGTTTGATCTCAAGAAACAGGAGAGAATCTGAATGTGGCCCTTTGCTGTAGTGTTCAAACAGGCACTCCAGTGTAATGTCTCTACAGTGTCAGGTGAGTAGTGGTAGGAGTGGACAGCACAAGAAGCAGAGCTAAGGGTTAAGAGGCTACAGGCTGAACACAGAAAGACCTACCTGTTCCTGCAGAGCAGCACACAAAACCCAGAGAGAAAACAGAGCAAGACAACATGAATGGAGGGGGAGAAACGTAACACAGACGGAAAAAGACAACAGAAAGCAAGAAAAAAAATTAAAAAGACAGAAAGCGATTTCAAGATGTGAATAAATTGAAATCAGCAGGCCAGGTGGTGCTGCGGCAAGACTGGATATGGGCTTTAGCACCACCAAAACAGACAAATTATCACAGACTCATTAGTTTTGATGACCAGTTCATTAAGCTCATTATTGAGTATTAGAATAATGTAATGACCATTCTTGTTATAATGCGGCTTAAATATGCAAAAAACAAACAAAAAGGTTTTCCTAAACTTCTTTTAAAATAAGTATAGCACATGAATTTGGAAGCTTCGAACACTCACCATGGACATGAGCTGCTCAACCACAAGCACGCCATACTGGCCCACATACTCCTTGCACTGCAATGAGAAACACAGGTTAATATACAGCATTTTCAAGGGGGGGAAAAACATTTGACAAAGAAAACTATGTACTCCACTCATGAGATTCTCACCATTGCAGACAAGCTTGGCCCCAACAGGTCACACTGGTTCTCAATGTTTGCAATGAGAGAGTCGACAAATGAGGTGTTCTCCTTGGCTTCTGCTTGAGCGTCAGTCAGGAACTTGATGCAGTCCTGGCACACAGCATCACCTTCCTACAGGAAAGGCAAGATTCAGAGCAAAATAAGGAGGATGTTCATCAACAACAGGTGGAGAATATATTGCCATTAGTGTCGTTGAAGAGGGGAGTTGAACAGCGTACCGGTTTTGGAGTCTCTTGTTTGGGGGCCTCCTGCTTGGCGTTCTCCTGAGGATAGAGGAGCTCGGGCACATTGAGGAGGAAGGGAGCCACTCGCTGGGAAAGGTCCATCTGAGGGATTTCATTGGACATGAGCTGGTCCTGGGTCTGAGCCTTAGCCAGGGCTGCCTGCTGAGACTGACACAGCCCCATGGCTCCGCACACCACAGCGGGATCCTCCTTAAAAAAACAAATAAGTAAATAAATAAAACAAACCACAACTTTTAATAACACATTTTGTCACATTATAGTCAAGTGCTTATTTTTAATTCTTGAAAATGTTTGCTGCAAGCAGGAGTAAATAGCAATCCCCTAGCTTTAAAGCCTAAAAGAGAGCAGGTGACAGTTGAAACAAAGAAAACTACACCAAACGCTTCCAGTCACGAGGTTCAGCATTACACAACGACTACTCTGTTCCTGTTCGACGGGGACTCACTTCCCCATCAATAGCCCTTATTCAGCTCGCTGCACTTTGCTCACAGACACACACATACAGACACTGAGGGGCAGTTGGATCATTTACTTAAGAGTCTTAGACAGTGCCAACAACAAACCAAACTCCAATGAGCTTTAATAAGTTCTTTGGCAAAGCTTGTTTACAGCTTATCTGAAAGCATCAAATATGGTTGTAAATACAAACCTTGTAATGGCACCATTAAAAAAGGCTAAATTGTAGTGTTCCACCACAGGTTTTCAATCCATATTTAAACTAAAAACAGGCCAAGACTTTGACAGACAGGTTGACAATGCTCACCAGTTCTCCAGTAATGATTCCAATGAGGATGGGGTAGTAGCTATCTACCATCTCCTTGCACTCTGCGGTCAAACCTTGATCCGGGATGAGCTGGCAGGCCTTCTCCAGGTACCCAAGAACCTCAGCCTGCAATCACAGAAATAACCAGATATCAGTTTTCCAAATGAATGTTTAAGTCTTAAAAAAAAAAAAGATATCTTAACACACAGGATTTTTTTATCTTACCTCAGTGGCATTGTCCTTCAGGATTTGCTCTACCACCATCAACACCTCTTTACACAAGTCACATGGCACAGTTTTCTGAAACCAGACAATAGGTTGTGTAAATAAAAAACAATATTTCCCAAAGCTTTCTAAGAAAGGCATGAAACTTAAGAGTGCATGCCTTCTGTTGGTGATATTTCAATACTATTCTTAGAACAAGCAAGATATGAACGGCACTTGTCATTTTCATAGGGAAAAAAAACAAAAAAACTGTGTCTCACCATCTGGGGCTTGTTCCACACGTTCTGCTGGCAGTGAGTCACAGCTCCACACAGAGACGCGGTCTTTACATTCTGACACCAGTAGGGTGGGCCACGAGCACACTGCTCAGTGCCGAGCAGAGGGGTTGCTACAGCTGCAAAGGAGACACATTTCAGGCATTTTAGAGATCTTTTACTAAAAAGATAAGAAAGCAGACACATGACAGAACCATACTCCTGGATATAATGTTGTGGTTTAGAGAAGTAAATAATGCACAAAGCAGAGAATGTCTTTAATTCTACATATTACATATTTCTTCCTTTAGGGAGTATTGGCAATACTAGTTTTTTGTTATTAGCTGCTATGGCTCTACCACATCCAATGCCAGTGATGAGCAGATAGGGGAATTACAGCTGACACACTTCCTCTAAACATTAACAAAAGGAGGATGTTGATATTAACTTAACTATGACACTGATCTGCAGGTTTATTTAAAGAAACAACTGTCAGTTAAAGACAGGCTCAATCATCTGCCATGTCTTGGTTTGGTACATCCTTACTCCAGTCTCCCTTAAACCAACCAAATGCATTGTGTCCTGTCACTGAGGAAGCCAAAATAAATCAGTGTCTCTGCTCTGTGAAGCTAAAAAACAGTTTCAAACACTGAGAATTGTAAACGTTCGTAACTTTTAGAACTGCTAGAAAAAAGGGGAAAAAGGAACGTTAGCTCAAACTACTGTCTCATTACGATATGCCTCTAAATCTGACATGATTTACCGCCATCGACCACCGAAACCAACCTGTCAATACCAGAGTGAGAGCAACAGACCATGAAGAAACACCCTGGTGAGGATTTATTATTTACATATCCACCTATTTTAGGACACTGGTATACGGGTTATAGGATACAAATATAATATTTTGGGTAAATGCAAAAAAGAAGTTATTGTTCACAGTTCTCCATTTTATGTGGTTTCGTTTTGAATAGAAAATGTGATGTGGGAAAGAACCTAATAGTTTTGGGCTTTGTTTCCTGTTTTCTCTACCACTCCCTTAAACCCTGCATGAGGGAAAGGAGAGAGAAAAAAAAAAAAGATACAAATCATCTCTCTTAAATCAGAAAATCTATATTTGTAACTATATCTAACTAAAATGTCTAATAGGAAATAAAAGCAAATATAAACAAAACTGTTTACTCAGAAGATAAACTGAGTCAGTGTGCAAGAGTTGCCCAAGTCCAGTGGGTAGCCTTAAATGTAACCATCATGAATTGGCAATACAGGTCAGGCTGCACTGATAAACCTTGAAAAACCACCCAGTTACACTGGTGGTTTAACCCCCCGCTCACAGTTCATACCAATAGAGCTACAGTGCAGGCAGGGCACTCCCACCCTCCACTTGAGTCACATGAGCAGACAAAATAACAAGCTGTTCCCAAGTAGACATACTGTGTCCATGAGAACGAGATCTCTGCATAACACTTTTACAGTTTACAGCATGCAAAACATGGCAGCAGGAAGCATATATATTTCTATTGGTGTTATGGAAATCACCCACAGCAGAAAAACAAATTATCTGACAAAGAATACAAGGTTTTTTTTTGGGGGGGGGGTTGTTTTACAAGAAGTCAGCAGAGAATAAAAAAATAAAAAAATAAAAAAGACATCTACTGGCATATACCTGACTCACTTTCTGAGAGTGATTCTGAAACAGAAAACTCATCATAATGTGAGTGAAATCAACATCACATGACCAAGTGAAGCGCAAAAGGGCATTAAATAGGATTCAGACTGCATTGTTCAACAACTGCAAGTAACCTATGAGACATTTTCCATGTAGAAATCTACACATCAGCAGAAAGAAAAGCATACAAAACACTTGCTGACGAATATGATTGAGCCCTAAACTCATGACATGCACCATTTAGGAATGTCTGCAAGCAAGCACATGCAAGAATGTGACACTGTATAAAAAAAATTATTATTTAACCAGAAGTCAGACTGATGATAAGCACTAAACACACAAAGCACAAACACCATGACTGAGAGAAACCAATATTGCCAGTAGATTGCAAGAAACCACAGCTTGTGCTTTGATAAAAAGTATTTAAAAAACAGACATATCCATATTTCAAACGCCACAAGGCCAAGTCAAGAATGTGTCATTGTATTAATAGCCTAGTTGTCTACAAGTTGTGCTTAGCTTCAATGCAGCAACAACTTCTGTAGGTTTCACTGACCCAGTTTTGTCTGCACATAAAGATAACCTAGCTAGGCCATTAGTGATTAAAGTGTACATTAACTACACGTATCATTTCAAGACGGAACAAAAAAAACCGAGAACAGACAGTCGAAAAGCTGAAATGAAACAGGCAGGTTTGGATTTTATCCAAACTTCCTTATAAAACCAAACCAGGGGTCAACAAAGAAGCAAGTACAGTAGCTACATTAGCTGGTCGGAGCAGGTACTTCAGGGCGGATCTTAAAAAAAAATACTTCTGTTTTCATGAGAAAACATTAACCTAACATTATACCCCACCGTACAAAGGATCTTCAAAGCTACCTGCTCCGATAACAAGCTTTATGGCGATGTTCAGACACATCTACAAGAACAAATAAAGCCTATTTAAATCGTAATTGCAGCAAGCTACCTCGCGTTAGCTGGCAGGCTAACGTGAGGTGAACGGGGCCGACAACAACAACAACAACAACGCCTTTAAATTAAACCTCAAAAGGCAAACAGCCAAGAGTCACGTAACACACATTATTCACAGCTTTAATCTGTCGCAAATTAACCACTAAAAACCTACATCGTGTGTTTGTCCCCACTGGAACAACATCAAGTACAAAACCAGCTAGCGTTAGCGGATTTTTCCCCAACTTCACGTTTCCGCGTCGTTAATGTTGAAACGCACTTTGTTACACAACCAAAGATGCTTTATTCTCGGTTGACATTTGTCCCAATCCCATCACCGACAACGTATAAACCCCCAGTAGTGTACTCCTTGCGTGTTCACATTACCTGAGGACACGAAAAGTAGAGTTAGAAGCAGCATGACTCCGCTGTTTCCCGGCTGTCTGTCTGTCTGTCTGTTTCTCGGTGCTGGTTGAATTAGACTGAAGTACTGCAATGCAGGCGGGTGGATGGGGGGGGGTTGTTGATGCCTTTATGATGTCTCACTGTCAGCTGACTACACATGTGACTGCCTCGGTCTGTATGATGTGATCATTTAAGTATCGATCAAGAGTCTTTTTTAAAAAAAAATTTAAAAAAAAGTATTTGAAAGGCATTTTAATTCAGACTATTTCTAATTAACAAGGGTTGCAAAATTAGAAATACTTAATTGGGAATTGGTTGCGTTACATTATGAGAAGTATAAATAATAAGAATATGTGCATTCAATTAAAATATATAACAGCAATATATATATATATATAGAAGATGGAACAATTTAAAATAAGAGTATGTAAGAATTGGTATATTATATTACAGTATATAACAAGATATAGAAAACAGAAAAGTCAAACTATGTATGGCACAGTATATAACCTAAGAGTAAGTGTAATTATTAAATACTAATGGTGTGTACTAATACTGAGAACTGGATCCTGAATAGGCGTGTTAAAGAACAGAATATGGTATGACTGCAGTATTAATGAGGGAGTACACCAGAGTATTCGCACATTAATCAGAGAATTGCACATTTTAAAGGTACAATTTAATGACAAACTCTATGAACTCTAATGAAAAAAACACTCTGAGGGAGGAGTTGGTGAATGAGTCTTAAACTTAAAGTAGTCCTGTGTTCAACCACCTTGATCCTTTACTTAAGTAAAAAGTATTAATACCACACTGTGAACATAATCTTCTTCAAGTCCTGCATTCAAAAACTTACTAAAGTAAAAGTATGTAATTATTATCAACAAAATGTACTCATTATTTTATGAAATTTTTGCTGTGCATTTTTTAAAAAGGTTTTAACTACTTTATATACTGTTTAATCTACAGCAATGCATCATATTCTATAAAATATCATCACGTTAATGGCGTTGCTGTCCTGTGAGACCCCGAAAAAGTCAGCTTCTCATGAGCTCACAAAAAACAGCCGTTTGCAGCTTTGTGACAATGCAGCTAATCCAAGATTGTTTTTAAATGGTTTATTAAGCTTAAGAAGAAAGGATTTTCAAAACCCATAAAGGAACACTTAATCCTTCAAACAGAAATCCCCAAAATACATAATTATCACCAGACAGAAAGGGTATTAAACATCGTAATCTGAAAAGTAACTTGGAAATAAAGCTGTCAGACAGATTTAATGGAAAAAAGTGCAATATTTGCCTGTAATGGTGTAACTTAGAGGTATAAAGTCGCACAAAATGGAAAAAATACTCAAGCAGAGTACCTTGAATTTGTGAAGAGACCTTTAATAGTTGTGCAGTGGTTAGTGGTGTATTCAGGGGAATCTGTGGGTTAATTTTTCTACAGCTTTGTTTCTACACTAAACACTAAGATTTTACTCAGCAGTAGTTCCAGTGGTGGCTGTATACCTTCTCTGATCCCTAGTCCTTAAATGCACGATCTGGTTACGGTATGTGTGGATTAAGCATGGCCAAGCAAAGGCAGACTTACATAACATAAATGTCATTCAGTCCAACTAAAAAAGATCAACAAGCCTGTGAAAGTTCCTGAAAAACATTAGTAACTGAGCTTGATCTCATTAAATCCTGCAGGGTTGCTTATTTTGCTCCATTGAGGACAACTCAACCAAGTTTAAAAGCTCAGCGGAAGTGTTATAATTGTGTTGTGTTCTCTCTGGTTGGCTACTAAAAAAATAGAACTTGCATAAACCACATCTACGTCTGCAATGGAAATAAGAATTGAAACTGCCATCACATTATGTGGAGCACATGTCTAAAATGTTTCAACAAGAAGTCAAGAAAAAAGTCGCAACTAAGATAGAAAAAAGTAGTTTATTATGACATAACATCCAAATGTAGGCCAACAACTATGGAAAAGGTCAAAGAGGGAAGCTCTGTACATCTTCTGGATATGAGCTGTGAAAACCTGTAAAACAAAAGGGAACAACCATTACATAGGGTTAAATTACAGCACAGTCAGCACAGCGTGGCCTCCATAAACAGAAGGTAAAGGACACTGACTACATGACCACATTTAATCAGCTGGGTTTTCTTTTTTTTTTTCTTAAATCATACACACATACCATTAGCTATCTACATACATTTATATTCTATATATTGCGTTAGATATTGTAATATAAGTATTATTTCTATTCTTTAACATTGTGCGAGTAGAACAACTGTAACAAACAAATTTCCCTCCGAGGATCAATAAAGTATTTCTGATTCTGCTTCTGATTAACACTACAGTTGTTTCTTAAATAATTGTGACATAAATATATATATACCCATAGAATTTAAAAAAAATAATAAACAGTGCTTTCTGGTGGACAAACTATGTAATAGCAACATAGTTTCTATATTAACATATTTGTGCCATTTCTGTACTGCAACTTCTTGTAAACTGGCCTATACCGATATACTGGTAACATCTGCCATGCAAACATATTGTCATAAACATTTGCCACATGATCAGATATATTGACCAAAAAAATAATATATCTGGCACTGGTGGGTGCAGCTAAGATAATAGCCAACATCTTTGCCATGTCAGCTCTTGGACTTCCATTTCTGTTGCCTCTCTATCAGAGATGAATGAGTCCACCGCTGTGATCCTGTGGTGGATTGTGGATTGTGTATTTGGCCAGTTTTTGCTCTCTCTGCCTCTCAATCGCCAAGTCTGTTCCCTTTTCAGCATAAGAAGTACTGTAATAAGATTGTGTCAGAATCGGCAGTGTTTTTCTCGCTGTGTCAGGATTATAACATTATCTTTATCTGCTGACTTTCACATAGAAGACAGAACGCCACAGTGTGAGGCAGTGTTTATAAATCAATAAAAACAATGCATCCGTTAGTATCTGATAGCTGCCCACCTGTGTCAACCAATACAAATATTGTTGCACATTATAGTCTTAGTATAGCTTCTCACAGCTATCCTAAAGGTCACTTTACATTTTACAACCTGGGTATTGCTTTAGTAGTTTTGACAAGTGTCATTGCTTGAAAATGGAAAATTTTACTTACTCTTACTCATCTCTTTACTCAGATAATCTGTAAAAAAAAAAAAAAAAAAGGTTTTTCTGGCTCATCCTTGTGCTTCTGAACCACCAAGCCTGAACGAAAGCAACCAATCAGAGCCAAGAAAGATAGCCGACAGCTGAGTCTCATTCCCAAGGCTTCAAATTCGGGGCCCTGGGAACGAGACAGACTCAACAATCAACTATTTTCAAATCAAAGGGTCTTTATATCGTTCTGGGCTCTGACTGGTTGTTTCATTCAGGCCTGATGGTTTCATGCAAACTGAGAGCCAGAGAACAATGTTTTTTTCCCCACAGATAATCTCAGGATATAGTGAAACAATGACAAAAAGTTATTCTCATAAAAAAAAGTTACCCACTGCAGCTTTAACCCAGGTTGTACTGAAACAATTAGTCAATTAATTAGTTAGTCTATTGATCACAACTTTTTGGCAACACAGGTGATGGATGAAAACATTTATGCCTTCTCGTACACCCGTTTCCAAACATGCATGGTCTGTTCCTTTGCACTTGGCTTTATCCTTACATTTAATCACTGTTTAGGGCCACAGCAGTTACTGGCTTCACCCTGAGCCTCCTTCTTCAGCACAGTGGGCCTCACCACGTCCACATCCCGGTGCAGGTGGTTCAGTAAGCCTGGGACAATAGTGGGGGCGGCGTAGAAATCGATCAGAAAGTAAGTCCCTCGGTGGTGTCTCTCATTGTGTTTGGTCATCTTGTAGGGCAACAGTTTATCTCCCAGGTTCTCCAGGCCCCTCACCACCGCGCCCCGCTCCATCAAAGTCTCCACTGTCCGCCGGAGAGTAGCCGCTGTCTCCGGCCGCTGCATCGCCTTCAGGATCAGCGCCAGCTCGTAGCGAGGCATGGCGTCGGCGAAGAAACCCACAAGACTCACGCTTAATGTCGCTACCACTGGGTTGGTGTCATTGTCGTACGAGTATCCCGTTCAAAGACGACCATGTTATGACACGAGGGACAGGAAGGTCTTTGGTGGTGACGTTTAAACCATGCGCCTACGTTGACCGCGACATCTAAGAACTAATAAGCTTTTTTTTTTTTTTTTAATAATAATAATAAGAGTGGTTGTATGAATACGTCACCAAACCATTAAAAAAACGTCAGATTTATTCATTTATTATTTTTTTATTTTTTTTAAAATAACATTTAAAGTTTACGTCACCATTTTGCGCCTGCGCACATGCCCACAAGTGACGCTGCCGCCGTCCCTTCCAGAAAGAGCGTGGTGAAGATGGCGGCGCAAAACTCGACACCGAGTGATCTCTACAAGTGCGTGTACTCGTTCCTGCTGGAGAACAAGTTCACCAAGGCGGCGCAGCAGTTCGTGAAACAAACTAAAGTGGTAAGCTCGCTCGCCGCGCGTGACTGACAGCACGTCTGTCTCGCGAAGTTGCCAAGACAGACCCGCACGAGGGGCAGGCTATGCTGTTAGCACGTGTGAAGTTAGGGGTCTCACAGCACATTATGTTCTTCAGCTGCTGTTTATCATCTGCTGAATACATTTATCATCCAGTAGCTCGTGGATGTGAACCGTGGTGGGAATTGTAGTTGATGCTTGAAGGTTTAAACTACAAACTTAAAATCTACTCGAAGTGATTTTGTGTATGTCGGTGCTTCATGTGTGTCTCTGCAGAATCCACAAGATCAAAATGAAGAAAGCCTCGTCGACATCTTCAACTTCTGGGTGAAGTGAGTTGCTTGTTTTCTTTTTCGTTCTTTCAGTGCTGAAGCTTTGTGAGTTTCTACTAATATCAATAAACTTTAAAGAAAAAGTCCCCCCCACCACCCCATATTAAAGGATGTAACTGCAGGGTTAACACTGTTTGGGACTGTACAGTCTGTAGATCGGTGCTTGAACTTGTGACATTATCAGGTACTTGTACACTTACTTGCCCCTTTTTAGGTTTTATATTCCTCCCTATTTATTTAGAAAACATCCCCGTATGCAATTTATTAAGTACTTTAATAGCTAATGTAACGTCTGGCTCATGGACAACAGTTTAAATATGAGCATTTTGGATAACACTAGTACATAGTGATGCCAGTCAATGTGAATTTCCCACTGCTCTCCCAGTATCTCAGGGCTTATCTGTAGCTGACATCAACACACGCTTCTGTTCAGTTTAAGAAAGCTGTTTATTTTACAAATAACGGGTAAATTCTATTTTCTGGAGGTTTTTCCTTTTTAATGTCACTGTGGTTCTTCCTAGGTCTCCTGAAGCTAAGAAACGAAAAGCGCCTGCTAACAAGGCCGAAGATCCGAACGGTCCGTCAGCCAAGAAAGCAAAACCCAGTGCAGAGAGCTCCAGCAGCGAAGAGTCGAGCAGTGAGGATGAAGAAGCTGTTGCAAAACCAACCAAAGCAGCCCCTGCAGGTAATACCAATATGTTTGACACAGAACTGATAGTTATGGTTGATATCTGTCAGTATGTGTTACTCTGAAATCTTCTAAGCAATATTGGATTACATTTCTCTTCTAATGTGTTTTTTAGCTGCCAAGGTTGTGCCCGCTAAAGCAGCAGCTACTAAAGCTGCATCCAGCAGTAGTGAAGACTCCAGTGACTCTGAGGAGGAGAAGGCTCCTGCGAAGGCTCCTGCGAAGGCTCCTGCAAAGGTAGGAGAAAATATCCAAATTGAAGGTTCATCCCAGATCTAGTCATTTGTGCACGGCTATGTTTGTAATGTTTATGCCATCATTTAAATTAAGTTTGTGCATGTAGGCTCCTGTGAAGGCTGCTGCTCCCGCTGCAAGGAAGAAAGACAGCAGCTCTAGCAGTGAAGAGTCTGACTCTGAGGATGAACAGCCCGCCAAAGCCCCTGCACCGAGTGAGTTTACAGCCAGAAGTCATTAATACTACGTAATGCAACTGTCTTTAATTAATGCAAATGTGTGTTTATCTTATGTGATTTCCCTCTGAATTACAGAACCCAAGGTAGGTGCACCCAAACCAGCTGTTCCTGCCAAAGGTGCAGCTCAGAAAAAGCCGGAGAGCAGCAGTGAAGATAGTTCCTCTGATTCTGAAGATGAAAAACCAGCCAAGGTATGCTAAATAATCTCTCCATATCTTATCTCCATATATTATTACTTGGTGTTTATATTTTTTCTAGAGGTTAGAATAGGTAATAGCGTTGGGCAATAGGTTTAAAATTTCCAATCGGCCCAAGTAGGTGCAGTTGGAAGATGAGCGGCAAGTTTGCTACGTTCAACGAGGTCTCATAAGTTTAAAAGAGAAAATAAACTCACCAAATGTCTATGGAAAAGGAAAACACCTATTTACCTCATTAAACACAAAAACACAACCGCACACCTTCTAATTTCAAGTTTCTGAACATCTTTCCCTGATCGTCTCTCATTCTTTGGAGGCAGACCAGTAAATTAGCTAAATAAATTGTCAAAAATTAGCCAGAAAACTATTGCCGATAGCTAATGTATTCGTCCAATCACCTAACCCTAGTAGGTAAATGTAAACAGCAGACTAACTGTACTTCACATGTCCTGATAGGCTCCAGTCAAACCCGCCCCAGTAAAGCCTGCTGCCGCCGCCGCCGCTGACTCTAGTAGTGAAGACTCTTCATCTGAAGATGAGGCTCCACCCAGCAAAAAACCCAAAGCAGGTGTGTTATTATAACTTTTATTTTTACCATTGTAAGCTTAATGGCCTCTACACATAATTACAGCCTATAAACTAGTCCAGGCGTATTTATTTGTGCGTCCTGTCTAAGAGCTGATCACCTGGTCCTAACTGTTTAAAGTATTGTAGAATTGCACTGAAGCCCTGTATGTCATGATGCTGATCCTTTTGTCTTGATAGGCACATATAGTGCAGTCCCACCACCTGCTTCAGTCCAGAAAGCTCCAGCTGCACCAGCAGCCAGCAAGGCCAAGCAGAGCGACTCCTCAGACAGCAGTGATGACAGCAGTGACGAGGAAGAGGAGAAGAAAGTAGCTGGTAAGAGGTGCCCACCTTTCTCAACTTGAAATGGTTTTTTTAGGCATGTCTAACAGCATTGTAATCCTCATAGCAAAACCTGCACCAGTAAAGACCACTGCTGCAAAACCTAATGCACCCAAACCTGCTGCAAAGAAACAGGCGTCCAGCTCTGAGAGCTCAGGTAATAATCACAATCCCAGTCAGCCATTTTCTGCTTGATGTGATCCGATGCCAAACGTGAGACATGTTTTTTTCCCCCGTGTTTTTTCAGATTCAAGCTCGGATGAAGAGGAGGCAAAGAAGCCTGCAGCTAAAGTCACCCCAGCTAAAGCAGCCCCAGTCAAACCCGCCCCAGCCAAGGCTGCACCTGCTAAAGAAGACTCCGACTCATCAAGTTCAGAAGATGAAGAGGAGGTGAAGAAACCTGCAGCAAAGGTTGCTCCTGCTAAGGCTGCTCCAACTAAAGTCACACCTGCTAAAGAATCCTCCTCAGAAGAGGATTCCAGTTCTGAGGAGGAGGAGACGGCAAAGAAGCCCACAGTTAAGCCTGCACCTGCCAAGACTACCCCAGCTAAAAAAGACGAGTCCTCCAGCTCAGGTAAGACACAACAGATTATGAACTCAGCATTTCTGTGAGTGATACATTTCTTGTTATACCTTTTTGAATTTGCTTTCTTTTCTGTACCAGTCTGTGGTGAGATCAAGGCTAGTATTTATCATTTAGTGAGTTATGACTTAAATATAATTTCTAATCTTATCCCTGCTTGTTACATACTCAGTTTAACTCTTGGTGGTGTTAACATGTATTACATTATACAGTGGGGTGTTTCTGTTACTTAGCCTACCCTCATTAATATAAATGCAGTGAACAAAATATTAGAAATATGTCAATATAACACAAGACAGCTGAACATTAGAACCCTAATGAAGGTTGGATTTATTGCAGGACTAGGTGTACCTAATATACTGGCAACTGAGTGTACCTTTATGTCTATCTGCAATATCTTATATATATTTCTGTATATCCCAGATTCCGATAGCAGCTCTGAAGATGAGGCTCCGGCAAAACCTGCAGCCACACCTACTCCTGCTTCTAAACCTGCTCCTGCTTCTAAACCTGCTGCTGCTTCTAAACCTCCAGCCAAGGCAGCAGAGAGCAGCTCTGAAGACTCCTCCTCTGAGGAGGAAGAACCAGTGAAAGCCAAGCCAGTGACCAAACCAGCTACCCCAGCTTCTAAGCCCGCTACCCCTGTTGTAAAGCCTGCTGCCGCAGCAGAGAGCAGCTCAGACTCTGACTCCTCCTCTGAAGACGAAGAACCAGCTAAGCCTAAACCTGCCGCAGCTAAAGCAGCTACGCCAGCCTCAAAGCCTGCTACTCCTGCAGCAAAGTCTGCAGCGAAGCCTGCAGCTGCAGCAGAGAGCAGTTCTGACTCGGACTCCTCTTCTGAGGATGAAGAACCAGCTAAGGCTAAACCTGCCGCAGCTAAACCAGCTACGCCAGCCTCAAAGCCTGCTACTCCTGCAGCGAAGCCTGCAGCAAAGCCTGCAGCTGCAGCAGAGAGCAGTTCTGATTCGGACTCCTCTTCTGAGGACGAAGAACCAGCTAAGGCTAAACCTGCAGCAGCTAAACCAGCTACCCCAGCCTCAAAGCCTGCTACTCCTGCAGCAAAGCCTGCAGCGAAGCCTGCAGCAGAGAGCAGCTCTGACTCTGACTCCTCCTCTGAGGATGAGGAACCAGCTAAGGCTAAACCTGCAGCAGCTAAACCTGCAGCAGCTAAACCAGCTACCCCGGCCTCAAAGCCTGCTACTCCTGCAGCAAAGCCTGCAGCTGCAGCAGAGAGCAGCTCTGACTCTGACTCCTCTGAGGATGAGGAAGAACCAGTGAAGGCCAAGCCTGCAACTAAAGCAGCTACGCCTGCAGCAAAGCCTGCTGTCGCCAAGGCCCCTGCAGACTCCAGTGATGACAGTTCCAGTGATGAGGAGGAGCCCAAGAAGGCAGCGCCAGCACCCAAGCCTGCGGCCACAAAGGCAGCTGCAGCTCCAAAAAAGAAGGCAGAGGAGAGCAGCTCCGACTCTTCAGACAGCTCTGATTCAGATACCGAGGCAAAGTCCACCCCTGCTAAGCCCACAGTCACCAATGGCAAGGCAGCAACGCCCAAGGCAGCCACTCCAGCAGCCAAGGCCCCAGCAAAGCCAGCAGAGTCCTCATCCAGTGAGAGCAGCTCTGAAGAAGAAGAAGCAGCCAGTAAAAGTACTGTAAAACCTGCTACAGCCAAGACGACCCCAGCAGCTAAAGCTAAAGAGAGCAGCAGCTCTGAAGACAGTTCATCAGAGGAGGAGAAGGCCCCACGCAAAGCGGCCACAGCACCCACTACCCCTACGACAAATGGTGAGTCTCAACAAATACAGAACATGATGCAGCGTTCAGCATTAAACAGGGAGATGAAATGTACTAATAAACTTTGTGTAAACTCAAACATTAACACTTTTTACTGTTATCCTCAAATATAAGTAACTCTTTCCTCTGGATCGTGCAGGTACCAATGGAAAGAGAAAAAGAGATGAAGAATCATCAGAAAGTGAAGAAGAAGAAACAGATGTCAAGACCCCCAAAAATAAGAAAGCAACAACCACACCACAGACGTTCCCTAAAGCCAATAAGAAGGTACGCCTTGTACGCCGAACATGTACAACTGATGGCTGCTGCATAAAAAGTGATTGTTTTCTTGAAGGGAGAAGAGCTATAATTTGATAATGGAAATAATTTGTCTTTCAGTCCAACGTACCGTTCCGTAGAATAGTAGAGGAAACCGTAGAGGTGGACCCCCGTCTTGCAGATAACTCTTTTGATGCTAAGGTGAGTCCAGAAACCATTACAAGGTTTCCTACAGCAGCACTGCACACTGACGTTGCTGCAGTGACGCAATCGCTTATTATAAAACGTGTTCATTTGTCTTTTGCTATTTCAGTATGGAGCCGCAGGGGATTGGGGCCAGAAAGCTAACGATGTGCTCAGGTTCACAAAAGGCAAGTCATTCCGCCATGAAAAGACGAAGAAGAAGAGGGGCAGCTACCGCGGGGGAGCCATCTCTACCTCAGTCAACTCCATTAAGTTTGACAGTGACTGAGGACCTTCTCACTCAGATCCCTCCCACCTGAACTGTACTGTACCTGTGTGATCAGGTCCATCAGTTGTCTGCTCCCTCCCCCTGTAAACAGCCCCCCCCAATCATCACCACCCAACAGCAGCAGCAGCAGCACACTGGCAGAGGAATGTGCCCCGTGGAGCTGAGCTGGCACCTACGTTTAGTTAGCTGCCCTTAGTAATGGAGACCGTTCGATCTCTGATCTGAAGCTACAGTGGAGCTGTGGCAGCAGGAGAGAGATGTTCCCAGCTGTGACTTCAGACTCTACTGCTAAAGGTTGACATCAATGTGACATTACTACCACTTATAGCCACTAGGTGGCTGCAGGCCACCTGTGAATGGTGGAAAGCCAATGTGTGTGTTGGGCCTCCTTTTTTTTTTTTTTTTTTCTGGCTTGTTCGGACTTTTTCTTGTACTTTTTTTCTTTTTGTAACTTCCATTTTTCATTTTCAATTATCTATGTATGAATGACAGCGATCCCTCCCAACAGGTTCATTATGTTAAGAAAACGCTGATGGTGATGTTTTTTTAATGGATCACATGGATTCTTGAAGTTTGTTTGGTTGTTAGTCAATTTTTCTTTGGCCACATTTAAATGTGGAGAGGGTGTGTGCTGGGGTTTTTTCTCTTTACATTTACATTACATGAACATTGAGAGAGTAGAACTGAGTTTTATACTGTGTATTTATTAAGTTTTATTCCATTTAGGACCTTTCAAGCCATCTCAAGCTATTCTCAATCCATTTTGTGTTGAAACATTTCTTCTGATGTTAAGATGCCCCTGTCCTTTCAAACCCTCGCTAATCTGTTCATCATGGAATTTATTATTAACCAACATAACTGAGAGCCATGTTTGTTTCAATTATTTTGATTTACTGTATGAACTCTTGTGTACATCTGTTATATTTTTTTTTATTGTCAATTCTCGTAGCGATAATTAAAGACTTAACAGATTAAAAGTTGGTGTGATTGGATCATTATTTTGAGGCTTTTTCTTTAACTCTTCCTTAAAGTTGACACTTATATTCCTACTTTTAGAAAATATGAGGCGATCAGACCACCTATAAGAAGTTCTTCCTCCCTGGTGGGAGGTATGCAGACTAGGACAACGAAGCACTCAGCAATAAAGTTGGCTTGAGATCTTTGTGAAAGCCACTAGATGGCAGTCAGGTACCTTTGCTCCCAGACTGACCTTCAGTTGTACATGTGAAACTTGCAGTACAGTATGTGAACTGACACCGTATTAGTTGCTATGGGACAGTTTTGAGGGTGGCTGCTGTGTCTAGTGCATTACACTCTGCTCGCTGTGACGGATGTTCTGTTCGACAATAAACAAGGGAGAAACGAGGCCTGTCAGGAATTGCAGATGGAGTGGAAATGGCAGGAGGCAGCGTCTTTTAAAGGGATACTCCAATTTAATAAAAATGCAGAGGAGGCTACAGAGATATTTGTAGACTTTCAGTCCCTTTTGTGGGTCAAGCTCCAAAATGGCTGGACCTTGTATTTCCCATTATCCAAGTCCAATGAGAGATAACCCTGTTAGCTGGTAATGTGAGAAAATAATTATGCAAATAAAGGCTTTAAAATGAAATACTGCTAATGGCCCAAATGAAAATTCTGCCAATAAGAATAAGAAGCTTTAATTAGGTGTGGAAGTGCCTTTAAAAGTCAGAAACAGCAATGTTTCTATTTGCAATGACTGATGGTGCATTGAGAAGCCCAGATAATATAAAAACATTCTGAAAAGCATTGTATTTATGTCTGCAGCTTTCAGGGGGGCATAATGATAAAAGTATGCATAATAATATGTTAATTCCATTACAAGAGAGAGACAAAATGAGTTGGGGAAATATCAGGAAAACAGTGTATCCCTAATCACGAGTAAATTGGCATACTTTTCTATACCTGAAAAGACATGATGCAACATAAGTATAACATAAAGTCAACACATCCAAGAGTGGCACATTTCTTTTGCTCTCATTTCTAGCAATTGTATATGTCCAGGATAATGTTTGGTGTAACTGTCTGTACTGAGAATATTCCCTACAATTACATATTGAAGCATCTCCACAGGAACGCAAGATGTTTCTTCTGTGTTTCACCAAGCAACGAGAGCATCGAGAGATAAAAGAGCTCGTCACCTGACAGCTTTTATTGATCATTCCTGAGGCTATTCCCTTCAGTATTGGCCCTCCCAAGTTACCCAATGAGGTCTTTAAGGCTGACATTACTTGTCTTTGATGCATTACAAGAAGCTCTCTGGCCAAAGAGTACTTTACCTTCATGGGAAGAAAGGAAAACTGGAACCCTAATTCCAAGACCCTCATGGCTCCTCCAACATTCAGACTCATCTTAGGTTTTATGGACCAAATTTCAAATAGCAGCAGTATATTTAGGTTTTAGTGCTCTTTGTTGCATAGAGATAAAACTTCATTCAGTAACCAACTTCTCTTTTTCTAACAGCTTTGATACTGTCCTGCAATCACTATATCTGGACTAGTTCACATACCTTCTATAAAATGTTGGAAAATATTTTGTCAGAGGCGTGGATATCATTAAGATATCCTTTAAGTATCACATATGGGGAGACACAAGTCTCAATTCTCTGTCTAATCTTCCATTCATTGTTGACTATACGTTCTCATTTGGCCTCTAAACACACATTTCGTTTCACTTTTCCCTCTATGACACTCAGCTATGGTTCCCACTAATAACCTGCCAGTCCAACCGACTTTGCCTCGGGGATATTGAATCCTGGATGTCTCAGAACGTTTTACAGCACAGCAGAGGTAAATCTGAAATGCTTTTAGCAGCTCCTGTCACTCCCTGCTCTTTCAAAAGCAAAGATAGGTAGTTTTCTTTCCATGTTGTCAATAAAAAGCCACTGGCTCTTGACAACGTCGCTGGATTGTATCAGAAAATGAATTACTGCTTTCCTGTAATTCCCTTTTGCACAGGCCTTGGTGGAAAGTCAGTCTCTTGTTTTCAGTGTTTACGTATTGCAGTAGGTTTCAGCCATTTTAAACTACTTGCCAGGCCGTTTTAGATTTCTTTTAGAATTCAGTACTAGAATACAGCCCTCCCTTTGTGACCCCTAACAGACAAACCGGCAAAGTGGAACACTTTAGACTCTGCATTAAGCAGACTGGATACACTCTGTTCCTGCATTGGTGCCAGAATAATGATAATAATGATAAATATGGTTTATTATTTTTGTATTAACTTATAATATATGACAGACAGCACATAACATATTGCCTAATGAGGTGTACACAGTGCTGCTTTCAGTGTGATGTGAAAAGCCTAATTCCTATGCACACTTGACAAACAGCACATACACTGTCCATACAGTTCGTGTATCTCCACACCGAGGAGATGTTGTGTACATTTCTGTGCCTGCACACAAAGAACTGTTGACTTAGGAGGGAGGTCCGCAGTCTCCAAATATAAACTGTCTGCTATGAAGTTTGGTTTTAGACTTTACAGTGACGGCTCCTCGTGAGTGTGCCCATGTATGTCGCTTTCTCACAATTTAACAAGTAAAGTTAGTTTACCGTACTTGTGTGTGAATAATACAAAAAATCTATTTCCCCTTGTTTCAAAATATGTTACCTTTGACAGGAGAAACCCAAGTATAGCCAAAGGTCCTATTTATAGGTATATACCTGTAAGTATTTGACTGAAGCAGGAATTTAAATTAAATGTACTGCAAGGAGTTTTTAACTGGTTATGAAAGCTAATGCCTGTATATGAGCTGCATAAACAAACAACACCATCAGTAAGAAGATTGGCTATTTCTACGTAGCCAATCTTAAAGCAGTTTTGATTTTTTCCTTGGTCTGGACCAACCGGATCTGTCTGGTAAATACACTGCACTAATCCACTGGTGTAAACAAAAAGGAAAATAAAGGACTTGGACTGTTGAACAGTTTAAAGGTCATTTTCTTTTTGCCCTCACCACTAAACAAACTTTACACAGCCATTGTGCAATTTTTTGCTGAATGCTCTCTAGAAAACAACAGTATAACAATATGAAAAATACAGAGCCTTTTTTTTATTTTCCAACATAGGATTGCAAAGGTAAACCACAAGGTAAAACATAAACTTAAGAAACCAAAGTGAGATGCTTCTTCATCTTTTGACTTCTTATTTAAAACCCCTTTTTTAACTGTTTGATCGTGCCAAAAGACACTGTTTAACTTTTGAGACATGTTTAACTTTGGGGAGTTTGTGAACTTGTAGTTCAGGGTTTTTTCTACTTTGGTCAGCTGGGAAGAAAAAAACATTTTAGGACTTTGCAGTTATTACAAATATGCTATGATGAATGTTCAGTTTCTAACTTACAGAATTCATCTTTCTGCACCTTTTACATGAAAGAGTTGAACCTCATATTACAAAGGGAATAATAAAATATAATGAAATATTTTATATTATTTCAAAATGATGAACAGCTAACTGAACTTTGTGACATTGCTAATGACATTGAAACTGATATTTACCTAACATGAGAGTTCAAATCTCTAATTGTCCTCCCACGTCCTCTCTCCTCCTCTCTCCTCTCCTCTCCTCAACTCTCTCTAAAAAGCAAATGGCGGACCAGAGGGAATAATAGTTAAAAATGATGAACAGATAACAGAACTTCAGGAAATTTGCTAATTACATTAAATAAATTAATACTTACCTTTTATATGGGTGAATCACACCTATTGCCCTCCCACCTCCTCCCACCTTCTCTCTCCTCTCCTCCTCTCCTTAAAGAACAAATGGCAGATAAAAGGGAATAATCATTATAAATGACCAACAGATAACTGAAATTAATTTAATCTGTCAATAACATTAAATAAATTGATACTTTACCTTTTACAAGAGAGTTCAAACTGCCCTTCCCATCCTTGTTAATGCAATAACCTTTTCTCCCTATATCTTGTTGCTAATACTACAATTTTTTCTATCCCTGCATCCACCCAGTGGACCCCTGCACTGAGGTCCTTGTCACTGCAGACTCTTTTCGGCAGACATATGAACCTCCGTGGCATGGTGTTGCCATCCTTTTCTTTCTCTGCACAGAGAAGCTTCACTTGGAGGGTGTATCACGTTGGAGGTTCACGCTATCACCCCAAGATCACACTCCCATGTACAGACACCCTGCCTGAGTCATGGTGCAACAACAAGGACACAATTCTCAACTGAACATAAATACGCTCCATCCTGTTCAGTCAAAGCAATTCAAATGCATTCAATACAAATTCATTTAAAAAAGTAATTCAAATAAATTCCATGAAATACATAAAAACATTTAATTCAAATTCAAATTCAAATTTAAATTTAAATTTAAATTCAATTCAAATTAATTAATTTCAATGAATTCAAATAAATTCAAAATTCCATTAAAATACATTTAAAAAAATTTCATTCAAATAAATTCATCCAGGACATTCAAATAAATATAAAAAAATTATGTACACAAAATACATTCAATTCAAATAAAATACATTCAAGCACATTTTAATATTCAATTCATTGATACATTTGATTCAAATAAAAAAAAAAAACATTCTGACAAATTCAAAGCAATTCAAATAAACTCAGTTAAATTGAATGAGAACATTTTTTAATTCAAATTCAATTTGAAGGACAGAAGCGCTTACCTGGAGACTTACCTTCAGGTTCGATGACACTTGTCCACATGTAGCGTTGATCCATCTGGAGGTAAAAACATGTCATATATTAATTAAGTACATCAGTACTTTATTTTAATAAATCAGTACTTCAACTTCATTATACACAAGCAAAAGTATAGTATAAGTGCTACATGTCTGCAGACTCAAAGACAGCTTCTTTCCTCAAGCTGTGAGATTGTTAAATTCTTCCTCAACAATTCATCATATAAATTAATATATATCTTTTAAAGTAGCATAAGTGGAACTGTATCTGAATTTCTACAACCTTGTGTTATAAA